CACCAGGTAACGCGCCCCGCGCCGCGGCCCCCGCGCGGCCCCCGGCGCCTGGCACGGCTCGGCCTCCGCCCCGGGAAACGCAGGCGGCGCCGGCGCCGGGGAAGAGCGTCCCGCCGCTCTACACCCGTAAACCATCACGCCAACACGCCGCCTGGGAACGGCGCGCCGTGTTCAGGCCGACCTCAGGATGTTGACGTCACCATGTCGGCATCGTGAGCGTGTCGCTCCTGAAATGAAATCGAAACACTGCCTCACTCCTTGAATTAATCTGGCACCGCTAAAAGCAGTACTGCTCATCCGCTGGATCACTCTGAAACGTGTTGGCTCTGCCCAGTGTGCTCAAGGATGGAGTGGTAGCCTGCCTTGTTGCCACGTTCAAAATACCAGGAGTGAAGGCGGTCCCACAGCTTGTGGGCTGCACTCGTAAGAGCTGTGGTGCTCAGGAGCTTCCCAGTTATTTCTGCATACACTTAGGTGTTTTTATGTAAAATCATAAAACATTCACCAGTTTTCTTGCACTGTCACGGGGGAATCCAAGAATTTAATATCCAAGAGTTCATAGGTGGCCTGAAGGGAGTTCTCCTGCTTTCAGGAAGCCAACTGAACTGTTCTCTGCAGGAATATCCGGTCACCTTGTAGTGTGCAGTGCAGAATGAGGGGCAGTTGCACAGGCAAACTAGAGATGCCCAGGCATTAATGCAATTAAAGCCTTAGAGCTGCGTGGGATACAGTTGCTTTCTGCAGACACAGGAAAGGGAAGACCCTGAAAAGGAAAGTGGTCTTACAGGAATGTGGTCCTACAGTCTGGGTTCTGGATATGTAAAGTGCATCTGAACCCAGACAAGGGATTGCTGCCAAACTACCCGCTCCGATCTGGAGTTCACCAGGCTCCTCTTCGCGTTTGTCACACCTCCCTTTGAGCCCTGCTGTGTCTCTGCTCCCAGGCAGTGGGTAAATATTATTGGCCATGTCTCTAGTTCCAAAGGAACAAAAGGAGTGAAACTTCTCTCATTTCCCCCTCCACTTCCAACAAAGCAAGTACATTTACAGTAATGTAAGGATGTCAGTTTAAGCAGTAAGTAGAATGAGAGGTCAGAAGTGGTATTGAGTAGGAAACAGATCTTCAGTAATAGCTGAAGGTTGAATAGGCATTTACATATTAAATGATTTGGAGAATGAGTAATAAAGCAAGGAGGGGATGCTGTTGTTAAGCGGGATAGGCGGCTGCTGTAGAAGCTGTGCTGAGGCCCAGGGTGGTTGTACAGAGAGGGGTCCCGTGCAGACTTGGCCTTGCGAAATGAGGAGGTTTCCCCCGAGCCCTGTGCCCCCAAAGCTGCTCCTGCGTCCGTTGGGTCTGGAGCGCGGAGCCGCTCCTGGGCTTCCCGTGCCCAGAGCCTGGGCCCTGGTGTGGGTGCCGGGCGGCATCGCGCGGCCTCCTGCGGGGGCCTATCCGGGAATGCGGGAGCGCCGGGAATGCGGGAGCGCCGTCTCCGCGTGCTGCTGACCCCGCGCGTGTGCCGGCGCCCGCAGGTTGAACGACCCCAAGCTGTCGGAGTGGGAGCGCCAGTCGGCCGAGAGCGAGCGGGCAGACTGCAGCCTCTTCGTCCAGGAGCTCCTCCTGTCCACCCTGATGCGGGAAGAGAGTTCCTCCTCGGACGAGGACGAGCGGGGCGAGCTGGCCGATTTCGGTGCTATGGGCTGTGTAGATATCATGCCTCTAGATGTGGCTTTAGAAAGCCTAAACTTAAAAGAGAGTAATAAAGGAAACGAGCCTCCTCCACCTCCTCTTTGATGACATCCCACTTCGCAGACAATGTCCTCTGTGCTGTATTTGCCAATGAAAAGTGGACAACAACTATCTTGGGTTTGTTTTGGTGATTGTAATTTCAGGTCTGTCACTCTTGTTACATTGTGTACATTCAAAAGAAAGAGAGAAAAGATATATATGATAATCATTTCCACTTAAAACTAATTTTTACTTCTAGCAGGTAAATGTAGGCTGCGGTGCGGAGCGGAAGGCTCCGTGCCCCGTACCTTGACATGCAAAAAGGCTCTCCTAATACTCCACATTCAAACTGAAGAGGAAAAAACAAAACAAACATGAAAAATCTCTAATGAAGCTGCTGTGTGTATTTATGAATATTAATGAATAAAAACTGCTTGGATGGTTTACCTTAACTACTGCATGACGTTTTTTGCAGCGTGCATGAGTTTTAGTGACCTTGTCATTTAAAAATTAAATACAAGGAGCAAAACTATAAAGACCCGGAGCTTTCCCGTTATTCGGAGGCGGCGACGCGGCGGAGCTGGAGCGGGAGCCGGCACGGCCGGAGGAGCCGGAGCCGGCGCCGCTCCCGCCTCTGCTCCAAGGTTTCCTTCTAACTGCAACAGTTTTTTTAAAAAAAAAAAAAAAAAAAAAAAGTTGCTTTTTTTTTTTTAAATTGTTAACATGTTTTATTCAGGTGTAGATGATTCATATATTCACTATGTTTAAGGAAAAAAAAGTTAACCTGGATTATGTTGTCTTCGTTTAAAAAAAAAAGAAAAAAAAGAAAAAAAGTCACCAGTCTCGGTCATATTTCGAGTTATTTATGTGTTTGCTTCGTAGTTGGCAGAGACCTGTTGGTGTCAGGAGAGCTCAAGGGTCCGCCCTCCCGCTTGTCCCTGCGTTACAGTGCAGTTCCGGATGCCGACTGCAGCACCTTCTATTTATTGTTTATTTTCTGTTGTTCTGGCTGGGAGAAAGACAACAGGCGTTCCGGTTGTATCGGGACCCCCGCTCGCCGGGGCCGTCGCTGCCCTCTGCGCCACACGCGGAGTGAAGGGTTGTGCGCAGCAGCCCTGGGAACAGGCCAGGCCACAAAGTCTGGATTTTTGTTTCATTTTTTTACTTTTGTGTCTAGGGGGGAGTTGATTTTGGAGGGCTTTGTTGTTGTTTCATTTGTTTGGGGGGGGGGGGGGGTTGTTTTTTTCTGTGGTTTTTGTTTTTGTTGTGTTTGTTTCTGTCTCCATTCCCGCCCGTGCAGGGAGATCCCGCAGCAGCCGTGCAGGATGCTCCCAGGGCCCTGTGCTCCGGGTGCTTCCCGCCCGCTCCCGCTCTCCCTGCGCTCCGGCTCCCGCAGGCGGCCGGGACCGGCGCCGCTCCCGGTGCCGCCACCTCCGAGCCGGAGCAGCCTCCCGAGGTTCAGGCTCCTCCTGAGAGAACAGGAATCCTCAGGTCCTGGTTGTTCCACCGGGGCAGGACGAGCCCAGTTCTCTCCCAGTCTCTGCAATGGAAATGTTGTCAGGGGACATTCAGCACCAGGGGCCTCCGGCTGTACTCAGTTACCCCCGGTCGCCCCTTCCTTTCTCGTGGTTGTTGAGGGTTTTCAAAGCCTTTCCAGCTGTAGCCTTTTCAAGCACCTCCTCTGCACATGACAGTAAGACACACGGTTCAATAAAGCGTTTTCAAGACTTGTTGGGTTGGTTCTCTCTGTTGTTGGTGCCTTCTCTGCCCCTTGTTCCCGCCTGCCCGCGGATCCGCTTCCCGTAGGAATCCCGGCGCATCCCGTAAAGGCGCTGCCGGAACGGGCGGCTCTGGGCCGGCCTCAGCGCAGGTAGGTGCCTGCCTGGCCCCGGGGAAGGGGCAGGAAGCGGCTTCTCCGTGGGGAGCGCCTGGCCCCTGCAGCGGCCGCAGCACCGGGGCCCTGGACAGACCTGGCTGCCCCACGGGAGCCGCGGAGGTCGGGTTCGCTCCCCTGGGCCCTGCAGGCCAGGCCAGGCGGCTGCAGCGGGGGTGGTGGCTCCCAGCCCGCTGCTGGGACAAGGTATGAGGAATTTTGCTGTGGGTTTTCCACAGATGTCCACGTTGAAGGAGCTGTGTGCGGGATGCACTGCGGGAGAGCGCTGTCTGGCCTTGGCCTCACCAGGGAGCCCCGGGGGCTCCATCCGGGCAGCTCCGCACGGGCGGCTCCGCAGCTGCGGTTGCTTCCAGCCCGGCCGCGTTGCTTCCTCCCGCTCCGCGAGCGCTGTGCAGCGCTGCCGGCTCCCCCGCTGGAGCTTCCCTCGCTGCTGCGGTCAGTGCGCGCCGGCAGGTGAGGGGCTGGCAGATGGACCTCGGGCGGGGACCCGGGGTGATTCTGGGACCTTGCGCAGGGTTTAGGTGCAGGGTCTAGAGCCAAGCCCGCCTAGGCTCGAATGATAGAAAGTCACAGACAGGCTGCATGAACAGGAAAAAAGCACAAATGCAAAATAAAACCATTTCAAAGCACAGTGCGTTGCCTTGTGAGAAGTGGCGTTTGCACCGAGCCGTGCAGCCGGCAGGGCCTCGTGCGAGGGAAGCAGAGGGTCTGTGGGAGGGTGCAGGGAAGGGCTCCTGCGCTGCACAGGAAGAGCCCGGAGTGCAGCAGGACAAGGACAGAGGGACCGGGATAGAGAGGGGCAGCAGCAAATCCGTTGGTGCCTGCGGGGATGAAGCGGCTGCTCCCTGTCTGTTCCGCGCACTGAGGTGCAGAGTTGCTGGGACAGGCGGCACGCGCAGCGCTGCAGCGGATGCAAGCGCGACAGGAGCTGCCCATGGGACACAGGGGCCACCCTCAGCAGCAGCCCCCCGGGAGCGTCAGCTGCTCCTGATCTCCTGTGAACGATGCGTAACCGGCTCCACGAGGGCGACCCGCACCTACACACTGCCTGCAGAGCCCTGCGCTGTGCACGTCCAGGTACATTCCATTCAGCTGTGTTTGTGCTGACTCATTCCAGCCCCGGAAGGCAGCGCGTGGCTGTATTTCCTGCTCAGGTTAGATTTGCAGCTTTAGGCAGCATCAGTTTCTACTGCACCCTCTGGCTTTGGTGCCTGGCTACCACTGCGGCCTCCTCACCCTGCCGCGGGTTACTCAGGTCCCCATGGATGTGCACAGAAAAAATAATGACTGGGAAAGAGCCAACCCAGCTCTCCCAGGACTGATGATGCCCGAAGATCGGGATCCCCTTGGAGCAAGAAGAGCCCCTGACCACAGGACACGGCAGCAGCCGCAGAGTGGGGGGACGCGGTGCCCCCCCCCCCAGCCCTGGAACGATCCTGGGATCCCACGGGAAGCGGTGGCTCCGCTGCCGCCCTCTCCTCTCTGCGCATCCCTGCAGTGTCTGAGTCTTTAGGAGAGCTGCAGTGCCGGGTGGAACAATCCCTACGGGAGGAGAGGATCAGCTGCTCTGGTGGCTGCCACCCTGCAGGGGGGCTCGGGGCAGAGAAAAAAGGACACAGAAAGCTGCCGAGAAAACAAGGGAAGAAACAAGCATTTACATTTTGTATAAGCCTTTATTTACAACTTGTTTAACAACTGTACACTCTTCGGTAACCTTGGAAGCATTAGTGTATTTCATTGGGAAAAAAAATATTAAATGTTTCAATTCTAATGATCATTGCTGAGATTTTTTTTTTTGTCTATATACAGATATGTATATATTAATACTGCTACCATGACAATCTGGTAGTTACAGAATCCATAGGTGAACTGAAATGGGAAATTAATGTTTTTGACACTCTAGGAATCCATTCTCTTACAGGAAAAAAAGAAAAACCCGAAAACGTGTGTGTGTGTGTGTGTGTGTCACTGGCACTTTCACAAACAGCCACTTTGATGACGGGTCACTCAACTCAGGCCTGTCAGAGATGGGGCCAGGCCCACAGACCCCAAAACAGGGAGTTTTTGCCCCAAGGGCCTGGATTCCCGCCCCCTGGCGCAGCCGTGGGGCCGGTGCTGGCGGACAGCCCCGTGGTTGCAGGCGCAGGGTCCCGCTGAGCCCCACACTGCACGCGGCGGCGGGAGCGAGCGCGCAGGTCCTGACGGGGTCGAGAAGCAGCTTCTTAAACGAGCAGAGGCAGCGCGGAAGCGCTTCCGAGTTACACTGTCTATGTACGGCGAAATCTGCTAGCAAAACTCCGTATACAGAGCAACAGCCATGCTAGTGCAAGTGGAAACGAGGGAGCGCGGACTGGGATAAGAGCGGAAAGGAAGGATAAGGGCACAGGTAGGAAGGGAACGGCCCCACTTACAGCCTGTGCAGTGCTGGAGGTGCCGACGCTTTCGGCCTCGTTACTGCCACTCTCCTCCTGTCCTCAGCTAACAACCGCACGGAGATGGGGGCGCAAAGACGGGTCCTTTGGCCTCCCCGGAGGCCGTGTCGGGAGAGACACGGGGAAAAGGGGAAGCCGCTGCCCGGGACGGCCAGTGTCTCTGCACGTGGGTGTCCCGCTGCGAGACCAGACGCCCCAGTCTTAAGTGTAGAACTGGATAAGTTTTGGTTATGCAGTCTGGACAGAAAAGCAAGTCATGCACTGAACAGTCCCTGTTACAAAAATGCTGCAGGTCATGCAACCACATCACTGCAAATAAAGAAAATAAAGAAGAAAGTTAAAGAGCAGCAAAGATATCGTTATTGTTAGAATGAGAGCAGAAGAGGTGTTTTCAGAGCAGCTTAGGTGAGTCCGTCTCTACTCAGAGCTGTGCAAATCCATGGAGGATCCATGGATTCCATCTTGGCTGGGCCAAATCTCAGCTTGACGGGAAGGTTCACAACAGAGCCCGGGAGAAGCTGCAGAACCGAGTGCCCGGATTGATCCAGACTTAGGTCCTGTCTAGCACAGTCCCAAAGTGCCTCATTCCAGCAGCATTCCGGCAGCGGGAAACCCCGCATGCCAGGAAAGGCGCCTGTGCCCCGCTGGGATTGCCTGAGGGAAGAGGGGATCCGAGGGCATCCCGGCTCCCGACGCGGCCGCCGCTGACTAGGTTGGGATCCTTGCAGGAATCCCAATCCAAGCGTGCCGGGGGGAACTGTAACTGAAATCAAGGGCGCACCAAAGGAAAGAGCCTTTCCCTTACAAATCCCGGGGTTTCACCTCCTCATCCACCCATGCACAACACTAACCACAGCAGGAGCTCCTCATTTCCCAGTGGGAAAACACCCCGCAGGGCTCTGCATCAGACCCCGATTCCTCACTGCAAGCGACGGTGATTCCACAAGATTCCCTCTGCCCTGCTCCACTCCCGAGTTCCATCACAGAGCCACATCCCGACACGTGGCCGTGGCATGTCCCGGCCACCAGGAACCCGCCTGGTTCCCGGGAGGATCCCACCGGCACGGCGAGGCCGAGCCCAGGGCCGAACCCTCCAAGCAGCCGCTGCTGCCCCGGGCGCTCCGGCCTCGCGTGGAGCCCCTGCAGCCACCAGCTCCTGGCTCCGGGGATCCAGTACTCCCATCCCGGCATCCCGGTGACCCTGCTAAGGGAAACCTTTGGGATCTGCTTCCCGCCTGGAGCCCTCATGCCGCGCCAAGGAGGCTGCGGGTGACGCCAGTGGCTCCACAGGTGAATCCTACACACAGCAGCCAAGAGCACCTCAGGGAACGGGATCTGGGTGGGATCTGGGCCGTGACAGAGGGCACACCATGAAAACACCCGTGACCTTGTGGCACACGAGGAGGTCAACTACGGGATTCATCCCGAGCTCCTGCTGATCCACTGGCTGCGACTGGATACCAGAACCACCTGCTTGGGAAGCTGCTGCGGCTGCAATGCCAGGCGTTCCTTCTATGTCCCATGGGACTGCTGGCTGGCCCGGTTTTCCTGCACTTTCCAACTTACTTTAATTCACTACCTAATTCCCTAATGCAATAAAAACAGAGCTTAATAAACCACCTCTGTATTCCAGCTTTCTGTGCATCCACAAAATTTGCCAAGGATGGCCAGGCTACAGGCGCGAAGCCCTCAGGATCTCCCAGTAAGGCGGCGAGGAGGCTACAGGGAAGGCGCGTGCTGGGATTTCGGGATGAGGCGCAAGAAGCCGCAGGTCACTGTGCTGACGCGGGCAACGCCAGGCTCCTCACGGAGCAGCCGCCTCCGCGTTCCACCCGCTCCCAAGCCGGCAGCGGGAGGGCGCTCCCAAGGGCTCTCCGGTTTCAGCTTTCAAACTCGAGCGGCAGAGCCGCGTGCTGGCAGACACATCCGTTCTCATAGCCCGCTGTCGGATTTTTGATTTTTTTTACCCTTCCCCCTCAAACCTAGTAGATCACCCTTTATGTTCCTTTGTAGCCCGCATGGTCACCGAGCAGCCTTCGCTGCTCCTCTGGACCTCCGCAGAGGGCACATTCCAAGGCGCAGGAGGCTCCCGAGGCTCCGTGCCAGGACATTCCCAAGGCCCTGGCGAGCGACCACCCGGACGCGGCTTTGATGCCTCCCGACGCCTCTTCCTGCTGCAGACCCGATCCCGGCTCGGGAGCCGTTCCGGGTTCGGCTGCACCGGGATGTCCCTCCGAGACGCCCACCCTGCGACATGACGGGGACGCCAGGGCACGAAGCCAGAGCACAGCGGAAAATCCCACTCGCCGCACGTCCTGCCCTACATTCAAATCCCTGCATCCGCGATGATCCGCGTTTTCCTGCTAGCAGGATGATGAACGCGTCGCGCTTGCCAGCCCCAGCTAATGCAGCTGTTCTGAGAAATGGTCTATGGAAAGGTTTCTTTACAAGCCCTTGGTTTCCTGAGATCACAATTCTGTCGTAGTTCAGCTCCTAAACTACTCTGTGAGCGACAACCCTGCGGGATGATGACCTGCTTCAAAAGAGAACACATGGAAGTATTTCCTGACGGAGACACCTCCCTCAGGCAGTTATTCACACCACACAGGTGAGGAGGAGGCCTGAAAAATCAGTGAACTCTGGTCTGGGAGAGTCTGTCAATCAACGTTACTGCTAAACACAGAGTCCATATTCTACCTAACACACGCGTGCAAAAATCCCCAAAAAGTCAGAATTCAATATCTGACTCTGAGTGCAAAAATGTTTCCCTCATCAATCCTTGCAATAAGTCAGGATGCTTGGGAAAGAAAAATCCCCACTAAGAGTAAAATTCAGGTACTGTTTGCTTCACAGGAGGAAAAAAAAAATATTAGCCACTTTCAGGACATTTTTCCTCATTGTCACCAACTAGAGGAAAATCGACTGTTAAAGATAATATTTCGCTATTACTGTATCTACATAAAACATCAACACATCAACGTGATCAAACTCACTAAAAATCTGCTAGGAAGCCACTAAGTGGAGAGTCTCATAGACAAGAGGACTGAGGAAAAGTAAAAGTTATTTGCACATGTCAAAACACAGGGGGACTTATAAAACTGCCAAATCCTCTTAAAAAAAATTTCTCGACAGCTTGCATATACCACTTACCACTAAGATTATCGTAAAGCAACAACAGCAACAGTCAAATTACTTCAAATGCAAGGAATACAAATTTGGCAGTGCTCCTTATACAAATAGAAAGCCACAAAACTAGCAGAACTATTACTACAAACTCAAGTGATGCCAGATCTAGATCCCCAATATCTCATTTCCACGAGGAAGATGAGGAGTATTTTGTAGCCATTGTACAACACTGTCAACTCTAACAGTAGGTTTCCCCTTGCACTACGGTGGGACACGCTATCATTAATTAAACTGTCTCGATTTATACAGTACTTAGAAAATATATATCATGACCCAGGTGATTAAGTGTGGTGATACCAGGAAAACTTACCAGGAGCACCTGAATATTTTTTTTTTATGATGTCTAATTTACGCTACAACTAACTCTTCAAGGAAGTATACAAAACAGGACAAAACACACATCTTTGAAGACCAAAACTAAGCTCTAGCTCCTAAGCAGCACACACATTTGTGCATTCAACTGTCATCTTCTATTGGCATTCAGTTCAGATCTCCAGGGACATCCTTATGGATAGGTCCTTGGCACAGGATTTAGGAATGTATTCTTACTATTTCAAATGTGTTTTCACCACCATGAACATCTTATCTCCTCTTTAAGATCACTATGTAAGATTTCTCTTTTTTTTTTTTTTTTTTGCAGTTTGAGGACAGTGTGTGATGTTGCTTTATTAACTGATTAATATAATCTTAATATAAATACTTTCTAATGGTACACAGGAAATCTTACAATAAGCCTCTTAAAGTAGCTCTAAGTAGCTATTGTACTGACAGAATTTTGTTTTGCAGGTTTTTTGCTTATGTTTTTGTACCGATAAAGGTATAAAGAGACAATGTTCATGAGCAAGTATCTCCCGTGCAGGTTCTCATCCCCTCAAGCCACCTCTGAGCTCCTCAATACCCCACAGCCTGCACGGCTGCCTAACCACACAGCTTCCTTGAAAGAAAAACAAGGAGGCTGAAGCCTTTCAACGAAGCAGCCTTTCTTGCTAGCGGAAGATCCGACGGTGTTCACCACCTGCATTCAAGAGAACTGTCCACACTCAAGAACTCCTGTGTGGAACAAGATACAGGAAATTGCTAAAAAAAACCCAAGAATCTAAATTTAGAAGACAGCACATATGATCTACCAGAACTGGATACAGACAGATTATCTTTACAGGTATTTCTAAGATTGCAGTATATTTTTGCATATTAAAATATAACACAAGTTCTAAGAAAGAAATACCAGGATTTCTATGAGTTTGGGAATTCCCCAAAAACAAAATAATGTTTTTATCTTGACTGACAACTATTGTAAGCAGTAGTAAAATTCAGAATCAATATTACTTTTTTTTTTCTCTTACATATATGATGATGAATATGATATTTTTTTCTTGCAGGCAACTATAGAAAATCCTGTAGTGCCATATCTTATGCGAAAATTAAAGTTAAAAAAGAGGAGGCACCACAGAACAGATAATAAAAAAACTAAGTACAAAAGTGGAGAAAGACACAGAAGAGAGAAAAGTAAAAACCAAAAGGGAGGTTTTTAATCAGTGTTCAGTTTCTAACCTATCAGAGACCTCTGCTTATGATCAAAAGACTTGTTGATAAACTAGTAAAGAAAATATTAAAATAGTATAAGAAAGTTTCTGTTCTAGTGTGTTGATTTTATTCCATTTACTTTAGACATGCATCTAATTAATAGTAAAAGTAAATTAAATGATTAGACACATTTAAGAAATAAAACCTCCCATTAAAATCTTTGTATCCCCTTCTTTCCCTAATAGGCTTTGGCAGTTTGGTAACTGACAGATCTGGTCAGATAAAAATAAAAAGAGTTTTAAATAACCTTGGGTTCTTTCTCTGGGTAATATAAAACACCATATTTACGAGAGAAAACAACATACTCTAACTACATTGCACATATAACCTGCAATAATATCAAGTTCCTCAAATGATTAGAATGGAGTGTACAAGAAGATTAGATAAAGACTTCAGAAAATAAAAAATAAAGTCATAATTTTACTAGATAATCAGAGACTTCTGCCCCTTCAGCATTTTGAACCTCATGAAGAGTCAGCAAAGCAACCATCACCTGTCTGAGACAGAGAACTACCCTGTAACTTTTATGGATGGGAGGTATTCTCCTCATCTCATCTAAATTTGCATGCATAGTCCAGACATGACGAACGTTGAGGATCTTTACAGAATTTTTAGAAAAACACTTATTTCAAAATCTGAGAATTAAAAGGAAAACCTAATAGACTTTGGCAGATGTTTCTGTAATGCTGGAAAAATATTGAGGGAATTTTCAGACGTACTGAATACATTTTTTAGTATAGATTATAACAGACAATGTATTTGAGGGTAAAACTGTGCCTAGGAACAGCCACCACTCTCAATCTAGGTCTATCAGTTTTAATGATCCTTGGCTCATTCCAGCTGAAAATATCTCGGAATGGTAATAAAAATTAGAATATCTTTTCTCAGAAGGGATTAATGAACAGAAATGTCTTCATGGGAGAAAGCATTAAAATAAGGGAAGAGGGATAAATTCAGAAACTCGAATGTATGCCCATCAGGGACCAGCGTGAAAGAAAAATGTTTAAGACTGAATTTTCACAAAGGGTACGTGTACAAAACATTCAATTAATACTCATAGGTACTTTATGCCCATCACTCCTTTGATGAATACAGCAAGGAGAGCAGAGTCACCCTAAAGATACCGAGAACTTCAAATTAAGACCAAGGCCTAATTTAGCCATAGGGATCGTCACCTACCCTGCTGATAAACAAGCTGCTATACGAGTGCCATATTTAGTCAGCTACATACTAAACAGTTGGTACAACAAAAGACAGCCAGTTTCAACCAAAATCAACGACAAACTCACCTCAAGGCACTAGTACCATTAGTAAGGCAACTGATATAATCATAACCTGAATCAATGCATGAAAAGTAAGTTTTTTAGTAGGGAATAAAAACCGGAATAGATTAATAACTGCAATGTGTCTGAGCCTCGATCCATTAGGTTCTACTAGTCCAAAATTAGATATTTTAAATGCCTTCTTTTAAATGGATTATGCTGTAGCATATAAAACATTCCAAGTATTTCTTAATATTCTATAACATATATTAAGCACATATTTGACCAAGAGGAATGGGATAAACCATTTGAAAATATGCATCTGTAAACGAACAGGTAACACCAGTTGATTACCAGGAACAGATATAAACTCTTTTTAGGGAAGGGGAAAATAACGTCTGAAGAAAATCATCCTGTTTCCTTAATAGAGATCAAGAATAAAGAAATCTGTGTGTACAAAGGATTAAAGAAAGCAAACAACTAAAAGAGATGGCAAAGAACATTGCCATATCACCTAGTTGCAAATGGCAAGTTTTTTTAGCTGCAAATGTTTTTCACAACAATATTATGCACTGGTTTTGCATTTCTTGTAATGAGTTTTCAGCCTTTTTCTTTTAAAGCATCAGGTTACACCACAATGAAAAGCCTAGCTCCTTTTGAACAAATATAGTCTTAAAAAGCATTAACAACCCTTGGAGGCACAAATGTATCAACTGTGACAGGAAATTTACATTGTTAAACAGCTTATGTGAGGCTTTTCGTAAGAGGCCAGGCTTCATGCAAAACAAAAAAATAAGACTCCATTATTATACACCACTCCTCTAGATGTTTTCAAAACTTTGGCACTCTCAAAAAGGCAGAAAAAATAGAAAGATCGACTCCAAGAAAACATAATCAAAGGGCACTACAGGCTAAAGAGAAACCATAACAAAACCCTTTCCTGAACTGAGGAATAACAGCGGTGAGTAACTAGGGGCAGAGATGGGATGCTGGTTGATTTTCCTTGGATGTTGTCATGTGCAACAGAGGTGGCCTGGATCACAGGGCAGTTTTCTCTTTAAGGGCAAGGCTTCTCTACCTTGCTGTTGCTGGCTGGACGTGGCCAGGGTAGGATCTCCTTGTGCTCGTGGCTTGCCTTTGCCTGGCCAAGAAGGACTGTCCCGAGCCCGTGCTGGCCAGTCTGTCTTCTGCTGCTTTTTTATGCAGAGTCATCCCCTGTGAACAAACAGAAACTTATCAGAGAACACACACACACCATACTGCACACACCACTCATTTACAGTTTATTTTCTCTTCTTCAACACTATCATAATTTGAATTTCAAACACAAAACATCATGTATTTAAGAACGATAGGGCTAAGATTTGCTTCCTGTTCTTTTTCAGTGTGTTCCTTCTTTCTAATCACTGTCCAAGTTCAGAGCAGCAGCTGAAAAGAGGGACACCAATGTCTCCTATCTGGACACACTCATATGAGCACAGAGTACCTCCACTTCTGAACTCCATCTTAATCTGCTGTTTCCAGAATGACTTTCTTATGCTTTTAAAAGTTTATTTTACTTAATGTTCATCTTGAACATACAGGAGTATACTCTTATATAGTGATTTTTATAAAATTATTAAGGACAATCTGGGTGTTTGTGTGTCAGATAATACATTAAAAAAATTCTTAGATAAATGCAGATTGTGATGAGCAACACAGAAACAATTAATATTAACACTTTACATTTGTTTATAAATTTGGAAATTCTTACCATATTGTACCAGGCACTAACGATAAGTTTCTCCTCCATTTCTTTCTGACTCTTTGTTTTTTCATATTCTTTCTAAAATAATAAAAAAAGGCAAAGAAAACATACATTAAAAATATAGTAAGTACTAGAGAAACACAGCCAACACTTAAAAAATGCTGAGAAAACACAAGATATCTATTGAAAAGCATGGATATTACCTCCAATGAATGAAACAATCTGTCCTGCTCCTGCAACTGATTCTTCAGAGCCTGAATCTCAGGAGCTGCACCTTGGTTTTGTTTAGGATCTAAAGTACGTATCACCTAGGAGAGAAAACCAAAGTTTGTTTTTAATCAAGTAATGCAAAAGCTATCTAACTAAAGGAAAAGACATCAAGGAGTCCTAACCATGTAAGGCAGTTTAAGAAATACAAAAATGACTTTAAGTCAGCATTACAAAATGACATTCCAAAGCGTGAATCAGGAAGATGTACAGTTCAGAGGCTGACTAATGGAATACAATCCCAGCAGCCAAGATGATGAAGGATTGTCTCTGAACACCAGTCATGAAATGTTGAATGCATCTGAACTGTTTTCTCTTACGGAACAGCAATTTAATGCAAGATTTCTAATAAGAAAGACTGACACCTAGGAGGTTCATAAGGCAGTTCCTACCCCATCTGCATTACCTTGGGATCACAGTGTAAGGAATATTCCCTCAAAGGCCCTTCTTACAGATAAAGGTTATCTCTCTGTTTCCTGCCATTTTCTCTCTCAAAAGTTCTGTTAAGACAATGAGCCTCTTATGGTGCATGCACGATAACTATGCAACTAGATAAGATGAAACAATATCTGGTTATGCTATTATATGATTATCTATCACAGGCAGCATTTAAATGCTAAGAAATATGGAGTTAAACCTCAAACGAGCCCAGTAGAAGTGCAAGATTCCTAAGTTTGTCTTAAAAACCAGCAGAAACTTCCTAACAACTTGTGGATCCATGGAGAAAGACTTCACATCTTTTTCCTTTCCACCTATTCTACAATGAGGAAGACCCCAGGCACTGAAAAAAAATGACTAAGTTATTTTTACTGGACAGTACTCATAGAGGACACCTCATAAGTACCACCTGGGGTGCATCAAGAAGAGCGTCTCCAGCAGGTCGAGGGAAGTGATCATCCCCCTGTACACAGCCCTGGTGAGGCCACATCTGGAGACTGTGTCCAGTTCTGGGCTGCCCAGGACAAGAGGGATGTGGAGCTGCTGGAGAGGGTCCAGCGCAGGGCTACCAGGATGATCAGGGGCCTGGAACATCTGCCCTGTGAGCAAAGGCTGAGAGAGCTGGGTCTGTTCAGCCTGGAGAAGAGGAGGCTGAGGGGGGACCTGATCAGTGTCTATAAACACCTCAAGGGAGGGAGGGAGGAGGAGGGGGCGGCCTCTTTTCAGTGGTGGGCAGGGATAGGACTAGAGGAAATGGCTTCAAACTGAAGCATCGGAAGTTCCACAGGAACTTGAGAAAACAGTTTTTGACAGCGAGAGTGACAGAGCCCTGGCACAGGCTGCCCAGAGAGGTTGTGGAGTCTCCTTCTTTGGAGATCTTTAAAACCCGCTTGGACGCAGCCCTGTGCCACGTGCTCTAGGTGACCTGTGTGTGCAGGGGGGTTGGACTCGATGACCTCTGAGGTCCCTTCCAACCTTAAGCATTCTGTGATTCTATGATAAGTACGTGAACTATGTTATCTGAGAAAATACATACTAGACTTAAATGTAACTTATAGAGCAGAAGGCTAAAATGATTCTATACACCATCATGACAAATAAAGGCTAAAAGTAGATGAAAAAAAAAAGTAATCTAAGAGCACTGAAGAATAATGCTCCTATTGTATAAAAGACATTACGTTACACACGACTTAAAAAACAGTGTTATTCTAAGGGGAAATCATGTCTCTTTCTTCCATTAGAATACACAGAAAGAGAAAACAATGCAAAGTATAAAACAGGAAAGATCTGTTCAGATTTCAAAAAAGATCTTTGAAATATCCCAAGAAGTCATGCTTTAATAGCAGCCTTCTTTTCTACAAAAGTATGTATGAAGTAGCAGAACAAAATGCTTAAAGTCAGTAGAGCTATCATAGGTGGCTAAGTAAGATTAATTTATTTATAAAATTTATACACTAAAAGAGTTTCTAAATCAAAACTTGAATAGAAACTAGGTCAAAGGAAATAAAATAAATTCAAATTTAAATCAGTAAAGATGATACCACCACAAGGCAAATACCTCTGGCTCTAAGCTCTGAGGGTTATGACTAAGAACTTGGCAGAGCCCCAAAAAAACAACTCCTTTTGATTTGGTACATAGGGGTCGTTTCCTGACTCTGGAATACAGCACCAGAGCCACTGGTATTGGCTACTCCTATACCATGAGTAAGGGCACTGCTTCAGACAATCTACATCACTCGCTCAAAGTTGGAAGAATTTCCTCAAAGAAACAGGTTACCACAGGATTTAATGCTCTACCCTTGTCATCAGCTGGCATTTGTCAAACTTAATGAGCTTTATGTAAACCTCAAAAATCTGTAGCAGTGGATAAATATTTATTCAGAGAAAAATAATGAGTTTTGAATAGATAGTATGATCACAAACACAAAAACAGAGAAAAAGCATGTGCTGAAGAAATAATGAACATTAAGCACCATGATGGTATGAAGATGCAAAGTAAGATGCAAAGTAACTCACTAGGCCTTTTCTTTCTCTTGTTACGGTAAATATAATATCTCATTTCATTTTATTCCTGTGGAGTGATGTGGTGCAGTCTATCAGATCACTAATATAGATAAAACCACTTACACTTTTTGCCTTTTCCAAATACTTTTTGTATCGCTCTTCCATCTGCTTCATTTCTTCCTCCTTTTTCCGCAAAGCTTCTTGTAATTCTTCTATTTTCAGTGCTTTGAGTCAGAAGATAAACACATTGAAAAATAAATAATTATAACATGCTTTTTTTCCATGTGTTTAAGCAAGAACTAAAGGCACAGCTAGGACTCTGCTCAGTTAAGAAAAGCTTTACATATGCATCCTTATACAGAAGATACAACGGTTTCATAACTAAACAGTTCAGAAACAGATGAAAAATATTTGCCCCTACAACTCATTAGCTAGTTGTTCTGTTAAAAACAGAAAAAGTTTGCTTTCTTAATTTAGGAAGAAGTAAATAGCAACAGAATCATAAATCAATGCCTTTACTGAAAAAGCTTACACAATTGAGTTTGCTGCTGCTTTTTAGATTTCAAGATATCTTAGTAGTGTAACTGAGATAAACAAGAGTTGTCTATTCCAAGTGAAAAAGGATTCTTGCTTCTACAATGTAACTTGAACTTCTAAAATGTAACACTAAACAACACTTTGTGACAGAGATTTAGGACATTTTTTCTCCACAACTTCTCAAGCAGCAGTGCAGACCAGCAGGACTGATTGTCACTGCACAACCTTACCCTTGCATATATAAAAATATGCTGATCTGCTATTGTTTATCAACTCAGATCACCTATTGTTTATCACTGCTATTAATGCAGGGAGGAAGGGGACCAGCTGTTCTCGCTGGTGGCCAGCGATAGGACGAGGGGTAATGGCCACAAGCTGAAGCACAAGAAGTTCCGTCTCCAGGTGAGGAGCAACTTCTTTACTGTKAGGGTGACAGAGCAGTGGAACAGGCTGCCCAGGGAGGTTGTGGAGTCTCCTACTCTGGAGGTCTTCAAAACCCACCTGGATGCCACCCTGTGCCACATGCTGTAGGTGTGCCTGCTGGAGCAGGAAGGTTGGACTAGATGATCTCTAGAGGTCCCTTCCAACCTTAAATATTCTGTGAATCTGTGAATCTGTGAATCACCTGTTTATCATCTGCTATATATATATGTATCACCTCAGATCTTAGAAAGATCAGTTTCATTATCATAAATCAAAAGCATCTAACATTGGTGCCTGACTCTCAGGCAACATTAAAATGTGTCAGCTTCATTTTGCAATGTTCAAAGTACAACTGAGATATAAATATTTTTGGTCTATCAAGACAAGCACTCCAATCTAGACTTTTTAAAAAGCAACTTGTAATTCCAGTAAAGCAGCCACACAAGCCTTAATGTGCCGTAGTCAGGGACTCAGAAATCTGCTATTAAATGCTCACATTCAGACACATCAAGTTTGAAATGATTACATATTTCTTAGCTATTCATGATGTCCCTGAACTCCACCAATAGCTCTTATTTTTAAGAAAAACTATTTCATAATATGTTCTGTGGTTTTAACTCGGAAGAAAAAAATCTTTTTGGATCTAGAATTTACATAATTGTACTAAAATGGTATTACAATCTTCCCAGACTGCAAACTTGCATGAAAAAATTTGCTTTAGAATTAACCAGACATGCTGCACTAGTTTAAGCATTTCCCTGTAACAGACAGACTCAAAATCAACAATACTCCTTCTTTGTTATTACTTAGGAAATAGGTAAACGTACTCATCAGCCATTTACAACCAGAGGTTGGGTATGGCTTTGATCTGACCTACTGGCCAAAATGCTACATTCTCATTGACTGACATCCAAAAATCCTCACATTACAATGCAAAACACACTCTAAGATCTGAAAACATACTGAAGTAATATATGTACTAGTAACAAAAATAAGCTGGAGGTGTCAGCAAGAGTTTCTTAAAATAGGCTATCAGGAAACATGACACAGTGCTTAATAGTTGAGACTAAATGAGACGCGACAAACAAGATTGACTCAGTATTTCTAAGGCCACTCATACAACGAGCTCTAAAAACATCATCTACTATGTTTCAAGCAACCGATGTTATCTTTCTGGTCTGCCTAATGCTGAAAAAATAACAACACACTATGACTGCCATTTAAAATGTACACTTTGTTTATCTCAGACCTTCTATAGATATTACAATAAAATACCTTGATCTGCATACAAAATACTTAACAATGAAAAGAAATGATGCATTATGAGTTAACTCACAACTGTTGTTACATCTTGGTTCCAAATCCTCGATAATAGCTCGTTTCTTCTGTAGCTCATTGTTGGCTTCATGGAGCTTCTCCCTGTTACAGAACACAAAAGCAGATATTATTTTCCCAGTAATTTTACTGTGCCTCCATTACGCTACAGAAAATATCACTCATATAGCCACTGTGATTGACTTTTGGTTGTACTGTTTGAGGATGAATGACAGGTGGATTAATATCATCCTGGAAGTGTTGGTAAAACAAACTGAAAAAGCAGAACAGTATATAGATAACTGTAACAAGACACAACTTAATTCTCGGTACAGAATTATAAACCTGCTTTAGAACTCATAGTAAACTCTACCATTTATTCTTGCTCTGGTAATAAAAATTACACTTAGAAACAGTGGCTTAACAGCAATACAACAGAAACTATGCATATTTTGGTAAGCCAGTTAATAAATGAACAACTCTATGCATTTTAGAAAACTGTGAAATAAAAAGCAGTGCAGAAATAGTAGAACAAAATGCTAACATTAACTGTTATCTTTTATGCTAAGTATATACTAGAAAGAAAACAAGGAAAATGAGTTATTCCTCCTGATTAAAGATTTACATGATGTTAAGTATTCTCATCATCTCAAAATTATGATTCTTGTACAACTCTTTCTAATTTGACAAAGCTTTTCTATAAGAGGTAGAATAAATACCTAAATAACAAATCCCTTAATAGTGCTGTGCTATCTAAATTTTTATTGGATATACATCTTCTGCATATATTATTTATGAGTGTCTGCACTACCAGTGCTGTTAATGGAAAACACAGAAAAGCAAATCATTTCATAGAAGGGAAAAAAAAAGACATAATACTTACAGATGCTCTTCTAGTTTCTTTTTCAGAAGAACTGACTAAAACAGAAAGTTACATGTGTCATTTTTAATACACAATGGAACTTTAATATTATTTCAGGTTACAAACATGTAATTTTGACAATTATAATCATATTTTGACTTTTTTACTTCATTCAATTCTAGATCACAATTATAAAGCCACCTCTGTGGCAGTTATCCTTCCACTGATAGTTTTGTAACTTCTATCAAATTAGAATACTTTACAATTTTACAAATATTTTCCTGGAAACTGAATCAATACAGGTAAGACTGTAAATGACAGAACTCAATGGCAGTGTTTTGCTTTCTTCATAATTTAGTATTTTGTAGATTAGACTCAATTAACATACTTAAAAAGGCACAACAAAAATTACTGGAAGAGCTATCATACCAATGCTGCAAAGCAACCTGCATAAGGACTTACTTGAAACAAAACCCTTGGCCCCATAGAAATTAGCAAAGAGTGAAGTGTCTGACAGGAACATGGCAGGAATGTCACCCTCAGTTGCTCCATTTTTCAGTTTCATATCTTTACTGTTTGTTTACACACATGTAAATATACAACTTACAGTGTTCCACTTTGGTTAAAACACATGTGGATTAAGCTCTATAGATGTAAGCTTCAAAGTAAATTTAACCTTAAACTCACTTTACACCTAGTAAGCATCTCTCAAAAAAATAAAAGCAATGTCTGTATACTGAATGTAGTGTTAAGTAAATAGAAAGCCATACTCACAATAGCCTTGAGCAGAAGCCCATGCCAAGAAACAGAGATGACATTAGTATAAAGCAAAACAGCAGCCAACAGAAGAAATATTTAGTTACTCATGAACAGAAAAAGTTAAAGCAATGCATTTTTTTTCCAAACATGCACATTTTTCTCCTCTATTCTCATCAGAAATTTCACTTTGTAACATCTTCTAAAACATTTCACTAAAAACAGAGATATAATAGTAGTAAAACAGCACATGTGTAAATCAAGTTATTGAAAACATAAATTTAAAGGACAACAGCAACTGCTGTTTTGAAAAATTATTTTAAAACAAAAGTCATACTAGCAAAAAAACAGGAGAAAATATGCAGTCCACCGTGGTAAAACCAACATGAAGAGATGCACAGATTTTGGTGGAGTGATTGAATTGTGAAATATTCACACAGATTAAATACAAGACAAATATACAATATTTAAATCAGAGGCAGCTTTTTTGTTTTGTATTTATCCAATATCAGTCACAGAGGGTCTCTATTATGTGACTGATGCTCCACAATCCTACCTCAATTTAAGATAAAAATCAAAGCAACTTTACTGCTTTTCCTGCCAATGCTCTTTCAACATAGGTTAAAACACACAGCCAACAGAGACATATGAATGTGCAGCCTCAGGAAAGCTTTTAGCTTTGCTGTAGCATAAAAGACGTCAAAATATTGACTTTGATCACATCCTTGCTTATTGCACTTTGCAAAACTGATTCCACTGGCATATTCTCACATTAATTTTAACTCCTAGCACTTCTGTGGGACCAAACTGCTCCCTTTCCCTTGCATACAGATTGAATGTTCTCATAGACAAGAAACTGACAAAGATTCACACTGCAAACCAAAGAAAGGGTAGGTTATTTAAAAAGAGCAATTTACCCATTATAAAAGATCAGGTAAAAGGTTCTTTCAGTGTCTTGTGGTCGTATTTTGCCCTGTGAAGTCAGGTTCCCCAGATTCTGTGACTTATAATCATACCTTAACTCACACAAAGATCCAGCCTACCAAGATACTTAAGTTCAGAGAAATCAAAAGCAAATTACTCTAAAAATAAGCACTATTTTATAGTCATAGCTTCAAAGTCACACTTCTGAATCCTCTGCATAACACCAATTCCTACAAACATTGCTCTTGAGCAGAAGGAACGTATCTCAAGAAGAATTAAAGCTGGATCTAGTTTTGAGCTTGCTACACATTTAGCTTTATTCAAAGGTACTGTTTATTCATATAAGAAAAATATTTCTATAATAAGACTAAAAATTAGCAAATGTAGAAGATTTTGCCTTTTTTTCTTGCAAATAATAAGAAGATCCACTTATGAAACCCCTGAAAAACATATTCATGGGTTGATTTTAGGAAACAGATATCCTCTCCAATATTTAATTGTTATCTCCTGCTTACTGCATCCTAGAGTCCAGCTGCTCTTCTGCACATACTGTGTGTGCCCGTCTGACCTGACTCTGTGGTCAGGAGAACCAGAGCTGGGGAGAGCCGCTCCCTGGCCAGCACAGCAACACCCAGGGCACAATCATGTGTCCCCATGTGACACACGAGTACCACTAATTTCAACTTCCTTCATCTTCAGTACTGAAGTTAAAACAGCTTTCCCATCATGGGGACTAGCAAGCAAGATGTGTACTTAGTTTGCAGTGGTACTCGTCTCGGTTAAGATAATGCTTTTACTGCTTTTCCAAATGTACCAAAGACTATATTATTTTTTTGCACTGATTTGGAAAAGTATCTGAGAACTACCATGCTCAAAATAAAGCATCAGTGAAATGCTTTTGTTTCTCTAAGGTTAGCTTAACGATAACTTGGCTAAAAGGCCCAACTCAATCTGCCCTCAAAACTGGTTTTAAAACAGGCCAATCTTAAAAGGTATGAGTGGGTAAGAGGTCCACTTCTTTATGGGTGGGTAAGATGTGCTCTCCTTCAGGGGCCTTTGCAACCTTAAGTATTCTCTGATGCTATGCTTCTGGAAGAGTAACTGCAGTCCTGTAAACCCAACTCAGCAGGATGGGGCCATGGTTAGGGCTACACAGAAGCCAGGATGCATAAAGCCATGAGCTTCTGTTCTGCTTTAGCAGGTCTGTGTGGTGCACACAACAAGCTGTACAGTTCCACAGGGTCGCAGTGATATTGTTCTGCTGTTAGCAGAACAACTGCATAATATGCCTACATGGGCTGTAGCTCATATCATTAATGCACTGTAGATATACTCTACGGTGCTGTCCAAACCAAGGCCTCAAAAAGGGACAGAATGAAAACGGTAAAAGAGTTGTATTTACACAGTCAATATCTGAGGAAATAAATACTGTCTTATTCACCTTGGAAAAAACTGAAATGACCTTTAATGAAGACAACAAAGAACACTGTAGAATCATATGGACCTTTTCTAAGAGGAATTCTAAGTTACTTAGAAAAATATTTTAACAACACTACAAGGAGGTTCATTTTCATATGGTTTACTTCAGGAATGAAAAGAATAAACTAAGTTAAACACACTCCTTAAGGAAAATTAGCAGCTAACAAAATTTTGCATTGTTTTATCTGAATTAGTTAAAATAAAAGCACAAATGTGGAAAGCAATACACTACAAATTGTTGCCAATTAACACAGAAATGCATTCAGACTGAATGGACAGCGTTCTAGAGCTTCTCCTCTAGGAACACATGAGGCAGCAAAAGCAATTTTTCAGTGGAAGACTGAAAGTTGTTTTTCAACACTAACTCTGCCATTTCTTATTTAAATTATATTGCACCAAGGGACTAATCATTTGAATGTTAAGACTGCATGGATCTTGCATTAAGAAAATCAACAACTAGGGGGCTTCCATTGGCAGGAAATGCTTCTACCAGGAAAAGTCGAATAAAAATAACTTAAGATAATTTACAAAAACAACAAGAATTAACACATTTCTAATTATCTGCAGAAGTCTCTGTTCTAATAAAGGAATTATAATAATGTCAAATTTCCTACTGGAAAGGCATATTGAATCAAATAAAATATGTTTGATTCCTTCTCCACATAAGATATGTGACTACCTTTTTTATCACAAATGCTTTATATATCTTATTTAGGCAAAAATAATTCAATGTTAAAGCCCTAATAATGTTATAATGAATATGGAAATATATCATAAATTTCCTTTTTTTTTCTTTTTTTCTTTTAAACAACAGAGGTATTGCACAAAGCTGAATGCTAGAATAACAACTACCTGAAGGCAAATTTGATGGACATTTCTACTTACATCTTCAGCTTTTGAACCTTGATCCTGCAAAGATTTCTGTAGTTCTTCAACTTGGGATTGTACTTCTAGAAGTCTCTGATTTACCAATCTAGAAAACAGAAACCATCCTATTTTTCAGGAAAAAAGAAACATCTATAAAAAATATTAATTCAAAATTTAAATGTAGTTAGAGTGTACAACAGTTTCAGGGCATTGATGCTCTCCCCAAACAACAAAAAGAGATGTATTTCTGGGAAGAAATTACCTCTAGATAGATGCAATATAAATTTCCAAAAGTTGTTTGTCTAACCCACCATAAACCAAAAGAAATCCAGTCAGAGCAGGCTGCTCATGACTAAGTCTGGTTATCGTTTGGGAGGAAGACTGCTTTTCCAGCAATTGGTCACCATTCTGGGGATTTTTTTCTTAAGATGTCAGAATTTCCCATGCTTCATCTTGTGTCTTCTGTTTCCTGTCCTTCATTGCCCACCTCTTTGAAGAGTCTGATTCTCTCTTCTTTACACTTTCCCATTAGGTTGACATAGACCACACAGAGATCTCTCTTACGCCAGTCCTTCTTGGAGGCCACCCCAAGTTTCTGCCTCTTCCCACATGTCCCAGCTTCTCATCATTTTAGTAGTCTTTTGCTGTACTTCAGTATGTCAATGCCTTTCTTGTGCTGGGAGCTCAAAACTATGCTGCCTCCAGATGGGAGGCAATTCTAACATAGCTAGTCACTTTTTTTTTTCCCCTTTTCTTTTTGACAGTTTTTTCCTGACCACAGTCTGCTCAAGTCAGAAGAGTATGGTGTTGTTAAAGAAAAACAAAACAAACAGAAAGCAGATCCCTGGAATGGAGAAGAATACCTCCTTACCTGTTCTCTGTCTCCAGTTCATTCTTCCGCAAGTTTGCATCATCAAGCAGGCTCTGCAACAAGGCGATCTTTTCATTGTCAGAGCCTTCTTGGTTCAGTTTTAGTATCTTATTCTCATGCTGAAGGCGAATGAGTTTCTCCCTAAAAACACAAATACTATTTGCTAGGAAAAGTATGCTAATATCTGTAAAGAAGAAAACTTTTTGATACAGGATGTGTGAAGATAAATTCATCTAAGTAACGACTCATCTTTACTTAAGAGAGAAAGCTGAAATAATCATATCTCTAAGATGACCAAATGCAAATCTGGTTAAAAGAGCCAAAACTGTACAAAGTAAACAGAAGAAAGTTGCCTAAATGACCACATAGATCCCAGAGTAAGGTCAAACAAACAGGTAAGCATGGCACAGAGATAGATAGGTATCAAGTATTAAAGCAGACTGTAATCTCAGTTGTGAACAATTGCATGAACAGTTACTGCTGAACTGCAGTAACTTCCCTCCTGTTGGCCTGTTTCTCTTCATGTTCACTTAACTTTTACATCTAGATCCACGTCCAACTGAAGCTCAGAGTCTCACAATGAGACAGCATTTTTCTCTATCAGAAGGAGAATGACAGTTGAACAGAAAACCCTTTCTGAATACACAGATTCACCCTTTGCAAACTTAGTTAAAGACCCGAACTCTGTCATCATGGAGATGAGGAGAGCAGTAGCAGCTGCTGTTTCTGTGCTTAAATTCCTGCAGCCCTACTGCTCCTCCAGCTGATGCAGCAGCGAAAAACTCCAAATCAGCAAGTACCAGCCTCACAGTAGCTATTGCTGCTCTCCATGTCTGTGAAACAGGCAAAGAGGCCAAGTTTAGCAATTCCAAACAGTTTGCAAATGCATGCTTGTCTAAAATCCATGTTCAACTGATGAAGAGATAGTGAAATCTACAAGGATTTGCCTAGGCATTTAGCGTCTTGTTTTCTGTAGGCAGTTACTCCATATTACTTCAGTTACTAATGTTGCCTCCAAATATCCTCTGCTGTTCCAGACCAAAACTGAAAGGAATGGCTCTTGTTGCAGGATGCAGCAATATAATCCTTTCCTACTTCTAGCTTTCTGAAGAGATACCCTTTTACTATTCAAAAAGGACAAGTTTTGACCCCCAAATTAATCTTTGCACATACACAAATGAACAAAATGAACAAAAAAACACCTCTAAAGAGATAGCAGATTTCTGAGATGCCATTGTCCTTTCTTTCAACTTACAGTGATACCAGGAACACTGGTAAGGCTAAATACCACTGCTACAAAATTTACTTCCTTTTTTCTGCTTCTTTGGAGCACAATAGAAAACTCAGTCAAGCACATTTTTTCATAAACACAAGGGGTGCTGTTGCACAGAAATCCACAAGGAGAGAAAATAAACATTAATCGTAGAAATTTTCTAACGGGAAAAAAATATGAAGCTAGTTACTTAGGGACACATTCTTAAGGTTAGGAAAAACAAAGAATGCATCAGCTTACTTGATTTCAGGAGTAACAATTTCTGCTGCTAAACTGTCTGAAGGTTCCTGGCTTTCTAGGGACATCAAACCTGGGACAGGAAAAGGAAAAAAAAAAAAAAAAAAAGAATTTCAGCATGACAGCTAGTACCTTTCTTTTCTTTCAGAAGATTAGAAGTAGTTTTGTTTCACAAGTTTGCTGTTATAGAATAATGTTCTTAAATAAACATGTTACTGGCCACAGTTCATCAGAAACTTTAAAGTGTTCTAAAATGCTTGCAAAGTTATAAATTAACAGAAACAGCTTTGCAAACTGAGCTTAGAGGAGTTAGAATTCATTCTCTTTTCAACAAAGGCATATTAAATGTACCTTAGACGACCTCTATGAGCTTTAGAAAAGAAGCATCTAACCTCCTTATTTGTCCTTTACCTGAAGTGGTGAGTTGACCTTCCTGTGCTTGAACACATCGGAGTTCTTCAATAGTTTCTTTCAAAGAATCTCTTTCTGTTCTTAACCTCTGAATAATCAGAAAGGGAACTAATATTAGTCTTGGCACAACAAAGTTCATTAAAACTAGGCAAGCTGCCAAAAGGCAAAATATCAGCACTTGGGAATTTATACACAACTCAAGAGATTTTCTAATCAAGGCATCTGAGTCTATTCTATAAGAGAATAAGGATCAAATATTCCGCAGGAAGAGTGGTTCTTTCAGATGAGTAGCTCCATATTATGATTACAAGGACAAAGCTAAAAGCTTACAAAATCAAGTTAACAGTAACACAAAGTGCTGGTGCTAGGTAATAAATGGCATCCATGAAACCACTCAGACACTCTCCTTTTTCCCTCAGAAAAGGGATCTGAAGGGAAAGGGAAGCAAGACAAGAGACTACAGACTGCTTTTCTCTCCTCAAGAAAACAAGATTCAGCCCAGAGAATGGCGGGGGAAACATAGTCAACATAACCAAACTGCATTAACTTTGCTTTGTGTGCCTTTCAACAGCATAGCTGGCCTTGCCATTCATAAGCTGCTCAGATAGGGAAGAAAAAATGGTTTCTTAAGACTCAGTCCAAAAAGAACTGAAAAACAGCATTCAATCATCCTAAAAGCTAAACAGGTATCAGTGATGTCAGTCCCACATACTACTGTGTGGCAGAAGCCTGCTTTTGGCAAAATATGAGAAATTACAGTATTTTCTCCAGTTTCTGAAGCAGTAGCTCCAAGTAGTTGAAGTCCTAGGACTCAAAAATGACAGGAGAGACAATTTAAGAGTCAAGTTTGCTACAAAAATCAGCATGTGTCCAATGCCACTACAAGATGTAGGACAGACCTCAGCCTTGCACAGCTAGAGTTGTGCTGGCTGATAGCTCTTTGCATCTGATCTTTTGAACAGCTGGAATCAGACAAATATCAAATGGATCCAGGACCTGGGATAATTTTGGGAAAGAATACTTTGGTATTCTTCTTGGGACAGAGGCTTCTCTTGTATTTCTGAATCCTTTAAGTTGAATTCTGGTTTTACTGTTGAAGCAATCAGGATAAAGTGGGCATTTCACAAACCCCAGACATCACAAAACCAGTTTCACCCATGCAATAAAAAGAAATATCCAGTATGAGTACTCGTAAATTCAATTGCCGAAAGCAAAGATACTAGAGCCTGATGCAATCTGTCAGAAAACAAGCTAATTACTCAAATGCCAGAACATTTCAAGGAATAGAGGAAGCTCTAGGGCTTCTCTCAGACACTGATACAGACATAAAAAGTCAATCCATCCAATTGTGTTAGTATTTATCAGTATTTATCACAACATAAAATGAAAATTCCAAATCAGATAGTTTAAGATATCAGACACATACTACAGAACTCTGCCAAAACATAAAGACAAGGGCAAATACATAATTCTCAAGATATCACTAAATAAACTTTCAGCCTGTGATAAGCAATGTTGATAATGCATTAGAACGTGTCAATAAGGCAACAGAAAGTGCAGGAAACATACGTGGACAATCATTAACCCAAAGACTGAGAATCTCCTTCAGCTCTGACCTGTTCTCACAGGAGACTAACCATTCAAAGGATGCAGAGAAAACAACTGTCCCCAAAAACATATTTGTTGGCAGATGGCAAAACAGAAGGCTAGAGGTACAATGGCCTGCAATTCAGATCCTTTGTGCAAGATGAAATGCTCCACCAAGCAACAGGTTAGCCACAAGCACAACTTACCACTGTCAAACAAACTGGAGAAACACACTTTAAATAAACAGCAGGAAAGAAAGCCAAAGCACAATATAATGAAAACAACTACTATGAGCATTCCAGTCAGAGCTGAGTGGGAGAAGGAAATGATGTCAAGAATGAGTGTCCACAATAGTTAATAAACTTAACAAAAAGTGGAAATCAAAGACCAATAAACAGAACATAATAAAGAACTTTCAGTTCAAATGCTATCTGAAGGGGAAGAGCTGGAATTCTAGGAAGAAACTGGACAGGAAGCTATGTTCAGGGAAATGTCTACAAAGATTCTGTCTGATGGACAAATAAACTTCAAGCAAGAAACTGCTAATCTAAATGGCTGGGGATGTTTTAAGAGGAATTCTGAATCATTGACATAGATCTGTAAGAAAGTCAGACAGAAGTAAATTATTGGGAAATGAGAATATGCAAGAAAACCCTGAAGGATCAGTTTTGTCAAGAGAATACAGAGCAGGCAAGCTCAAAATCACTTGCAGAATACAACAGAGATGACCCAGGCAGGGTCATCTGCCAAACAAGGCAGGAATACAACAGTAAACTTGTTGCTCTACAAGATTCCTAAGCCTCTTGGCTAAAGTAGTACAGACTCCATGAAGAGAAAAGTGTGTGATACTTCACGGCAGGGCAAAGACTGAGTTTAGTTTTACCTCACAGTGTACAACTTTGAGGAAAAGGCTAAGTTTAGTTTTAGAACACTACTGCAAAAACTCTACTTTAACTAGATTTTCAGGTTACATCAAGATTATCCTTGGCATTTATTAACCTTCTCACAGCAAATGGCCAAGAGACAATCTCTGATGTTGTATATTAGGACTTAAAAAAAAAAAAAAAGTTGCACACCTTTATTCTCCGCTGCACTGTCCTTAGGTTTATTAGAAAATTTTAGGTGGAAAAAGACTTCCTAATTCAAAAAAGAACTTGCTGTAGAATATTAATTTTGATTACCACATTTCTGTGTAATAAAGGGCATAATGTTGTTTTTACCACTATCAAACAAACATCTTGACACTTACATCTTTTTCTTTTTGGAGGCTGTCTACTTTTTCTTTCAGCCGTTTGCATTCATAATCTAATTTATCAGCTTTCTTGGATTCTTCAGATAATCTGTTTTGTAGTTCAACTGCCTGCGAGAACAAGAATCAATAGTTTGTCTGCAAATATTAATACTAAAACAAAATATTCAAGATAAAGAAGTCAGTTACCATGCACCATAAGACATGTTCAAAACAAGTGAAATATTTACCGATAGGACATACTAAAAAAAAAAAAATGCTTTCATCAGTTGTTTGGTTTCAGTCACAGTACTAAGTCTTACCACAAACAGCAAAAATAGACCAAAAATGTAAGGTATTAGCAGTATTCAAAAAGAAAAAACAAATCCCAAGCATGGCCTATAGAGGAAGGTATATAATTCTACAGACCAAGGAGCTCAAGAAAAATAGAGTAATCCTCCTGATTTCCGAGAAGCCTAGGAAAAAAAAATCAAGTCTCTGAAGAAATCAAATTCTATGGTTCTAATCAGGTCTATTTCACCTAATTTAAAGATTCAGCCATAGGCTGATAATCTGTTTATTTCAAAGGAAAATACATGGCTTAAAGTCTCATATGTACTTTCAAGTTACAGATTAGCAAAGGGCTTTCAAATTTATAAGAGGAGAAACGTGCAAGGCCAGCAGAAACGCTCAGTGAATGATCAGTGAATGTTCAGCCTCATGTGAAGCCAAGCTCACCTTTCCAAACCTTCTGACCAGCTCAGTCCCAAAGTGTTAGCAGTGCTCAATGCAGAGAGCATGAAACAAGGAAGCTGAACAAAGACCAGCTGCAAACACATAAGCTGAAAGAAAGACTCAGCCAGAGACATTCAAGCTCTTCTGGAGCTATACATAAGAAGGTTTTCTTAATGCCTTCATTTTGGATTACAGAGTAACTGACTAGATTAAAACAGGAAGCACAGCAGTTGCCATGCCTATATTGGAACACGCTTGGCAGTTTCAATGATCTTTCATTTTCAAAACATATCTAAGCAAAATAACTGCCAGTTTGGAAATTCTGCATGGTTTTATAGCTTAACAATGAAAGACTTTGCTGCTCTTGTTCTTAAAGGATGAGTGTGGGAAGGAGAGGTGAGGAGGGAGGGAGTCTACTATTTCTGAAATTATCAGCAAAATAATCCAAAAGTTACATTTGAAAACACTTAGCTCCTGAAATATGACACAAGTCATTGGGGCTTCCAGTGACATAGAGGCATGCAAAAACACAGGCTTTCACTGAGGACTATGCTCCCCACTTGTAAAATGGGTGTAATTCCACCTCACATGGCAACAAATGCATTAATATTTGTAATCAGTCGCAATATGACAATGGTATATCAGAAAAGAGCAGAAGGAAATAAATAGCCAGAATCTGAGCAGTGTGTAGGAAGATATAAAGCTACATATTCATGCAGAAAAAGCAAAGAAATCAGCCATTACATTTACTGAGCAATATCTGACATGTGGAATGAGTGTTCCTGTGGGAAAAGCAGGGATCTTGTGGGAAAGCAAAGCAGGACATACTGTTTAAATAATAATACTCAAAATGCACATGCACAAAGGGGCTGAATCAAAATTACACAAAAATGAATTCTAGAATCTCCACATTTTAATTCTTCAAGTTGCAACAACAACAGTTTTCTAAGAAAATACTTTCAGAAAAGTGAATAAGATTCCTACATAAACTGTAACTCCTCCTAAAATCAATCACTGCTGCCTTCATCCAACAGAAACTGCGGGTTGGGAAACTACAGGAATTTCCTCTCAGTCACTACAGCCAAGCATTTTCATGAGCAGTGCAGAGAATCCAAGCCAAAGAATTAACTTGTCCAATTACACTGTCATCACTAGGACTGGATTCTCCACATACCAGGAATTACAGATTTCCATAATGGGACATACTATTTCTTAGTGGTGTAATATCTGTATCCTTACGCCTGGCTTAATTCTTATTACACTACTCAAAGCTAGGAGTTTCAGAAACCAGCTTTGTGACACTGGGTATTCAGGCTGTCTGCACTTCCAACGCAGCTCTCAAAATGAGCCCAGCCTTACAGACCCCAAGGCAAACAGGCTCTGTGTGTTCATCCGGAGGTCGTGAGCTTAGGTGAACGAAACCACGTTTGCCAGGTGGGCCCCTTGATTTGTACCCCAGTCTCAGCCAGTGGTACAGTTTTCATATCTGTTTGTATATATCAACAGTTCCTCTGATGCAAAATCTCATGCATAACATCCATGGAATGAGGGAGAAAACAAGGAGTAATTGGCAACTGGGCAGGCAGAGCACAAAGAATGGGGCTGCCCCTTCCAAAAGTCTTATCATCAGTGAAATGGATGCAGATGTAGAAGTTACACAACGTACTGGATTGTTTGAAGGAAAAAAAATCATAAGCAAACATGATGATACTACTGGTATGTGAAAGGCCACTTCCTTCTATGTTTACTCTTTTCCCTTTGAATATTTTAACCCTTTCTTGCCCTGGGAACAGTGGTCCCTCTCCCTGCCCCGAGAACTCACGTGGACTGAATTTACAATTAGCCCAGAGGGGCTGAAACTAACTGCTCTAGTTAAATAAGAGGGCCACATGCAGGGAAATAGCTCTCAGTTTGAGCGATACACATTCCTCCTGGGCTTGCAGTACTGTTAGCTGTTGCTTTTGTATCTTTTTTCCCTGTTGTAAGCAGACATACAGGGACACTGGTAGCATGACCATTCAAGGTTATGAAAAGGCAGGCTACAGAGCAGGCACTGTATACATTAATAAACCAGGCATGAGTTGGCCTTGTAACAGGAATCCCACAGTGATGTCATGTCAGTGTAAAGCAGACGCTGAGAGAAGGTAAGAATGTCTTACGTCTTCATAGGAATACGATTACATTACTCTGGATAAGCAGGAAAATAAACACATGCTCTCCACTCCAGAGCATGCTGGTGATACATTTGTTTATTATTCTGCTTGCTTACAAAACAAAGCAAAAAAAGAAAAACAGAGAGACAAGGATGTTTATCTTTTTACCTTCTGGATAAAACAGGACAAATTCAGACCTACTAGATAAAATAAAAAATAGCAAAGAAAAAAGAAAAACAAAGAGAAGTTACCTAGCCACTCGCATAACTTACCTTGACTATGGTAGAGCCCCTACTGCTGAAAATTTATGTGAAGCATGGGTGATTTTTCTGAAAGAGGAGGTTTTAAATCAAGCTCAACTACTGCATATGAATTAGGAATAATTTAGGAAAAAATAGCTTAAAATCTGGTAATTTCTGAAAAGTAAGAAATGCTGCTTATTGGCAATGTAAAGCAAAATCGCAATAATGCAGAAAAGGAATAAAAAATTAGTACCCACAAAACACACAACTCTCCCAGACACAGGAAACTGATTGTTGTTTTTTATTTTTTTACCGTGAAGTGTTAGCAATGCTATGAAGAGAAAATCCTGAGTGATGCAGAGAGCTTTCCAGTTGATGAACTGGTGAATTTCACCATATGGTGATGCCTGTTCTTACCTGCCTCTTGTACGTCTCCAGCTGACTGCGTGCTGCGTTGGCCTTCCTCAGTTCTTCTTCCAAGCTCACAGTGTTTTGCATGTACATTGTGTTCTTCTCTTCTAAGAGCTTCACTTGCCGTCGCAAATCACCCAGGTCTTCCAATTTCTTTTTGTATGATTCTACCTGACTTTCTAACTTAGCGACCTTATCAGAAGAATGCCTGTAGGGACACATTTGTATCAAATCTATACTTGGAAAACTAAAAAAAAAAAAACCAAATATACACCCTAAAGCTTCCTCCATATTATGACTGAATGTAAAGGACATTGTCAGACAAAGCCAGTACAAAAGAATGATCATAACCTTACTAGATGCCTAGGCTTAATTCATCTACTCCCTCCCATCACTATTTGTTGTATCAAAATGCTGCTGTTGGAAACGCTTTTAGACAGTATCATTCGTCCCATTACATCTTTCTCTTTCCTATATTAATTCGCAGTAATAGTTAAAATTTCTTGTCTCTCATCCATTTTTTCAGCTCTAAAACCATCCTCAGAATCTTGTTTATTTATGAAGGAACAACATTTCTGCTGTTGACTAACCATCACAGTTATCACTCTCCCAGCTAGTCCACATTTGGCGACACAAAAGTGCCTTAACCGTTTTGGAACCTGACGCCTTTTAGAAAAAGGTAACAGAGTTCAGTTTATAACATAATCAGGCAAAGTTTTCTCCATCCAATATGCATTTCTTCAAGTTATACTCAAATCATAAACTTTCAGTTTGATTTAAAGCATGAATCATTAGGAAAAAATGTGTCTGCAAAACTTTCAGGGAAAATAATAAAACTCAGAAGAACTAGATGGTAAGGAAGATGGAATATAGAGTTGCTTTTGTGCTTACTGCTCTAAGGCTGCATGACTTGAACATGACTGTATCATTTTGATAGCCGCAGCACGTTTTAGTGCTTCCTTAGACAATTTTATATTAAAAATCTTTAAGAAAAGTTAATGAAGACCAATTATATAAACTACATGGACTAAATGTTAATAACTACACTTTAAAAATGGTTAGCAGAACACAGTTTACCTCAGTACATCTATCTCATCCTTCAAGGACTGAGCCTCCTCTGCCAATGTAGTAAGCTCTTCTGTCTGCTGCCTCAATTCAGCAATTTCCTTTTCTAGTTCTTCGCACCGTATTCGATAGTCATCTTTGGCAGCTTCTAATCTGCAAGCATGAAGTAAAACAGAATGCAATTTCCTGCCTCAAGCCACCATTACCTTTCTTCATTATCATCTTCCCTAAGAATACTGGTAATAACTTTACAACACACAGTAAAAAATAAAATAGCAGTCCAGCATGCAACAATGCAGAGACTAGAGCTTTGCTTCCAAGTATTTGGCTTATTCAGATGTGCAGGGTTTTTTTTAAATGCTTCCAAGTTGATGCCAAACTTTATGCTGCAGATGTTACACAAAAATGTCTACTGTTAGCTTTCATGGAATGACAAATCCTAGCTTTTGTGTGGTACTTTCTTTTCACAGATGCAAGCTTTGGCAGAAATTTTCACACTTTATGGTCCTGGAGCATATTAATATCGAACATGAAATCTTTATCCTAGAGTTGTGTTCAGCTGCTCAAGTGTTTTATACCTTCAATAAAATACTCCTGCTTTTTCTTATGTTCTAAATGATGAAGAACTATGATTTTTTTTTAAAGAATCCATGACAGACCAGCATTCCTAAAGAATTAAGGCATGAAATGAGTTATCTGCATTTTGATTGCCATATAAAAAATGCAGACCAAATTTTTGCCATGACGAACTCACGTACAATATACGTAGGGAAAGTTGCATTAACCTGGCAGTGAGGAAGGGGGATAATGAAGAGAAACATTTTGAATGAAGAGGACATAGAATGGCAACACAAAATGCCATTGTGATTTTGATTTGAAGTTAAAATAAAGGCATCTTAAAGGACACAGAGTCAATAAAAAAAGTATTGCAACTTAGTTTAAGGAATCCAGTAAGAATTGTTAAGTATAAATAAGAGTAGGAATTCCTATAGAGAATGGAGATGACTAAGAGAAATGAAGGGCTAAGTTTCAGAAACATTACTACTTATTTACAGTGTATATGTATAGAAAGAAGGCCAAGAGATATTAGCTGGCATGCAAGAGAAACATCAAACCCCGTTTTCAGGAAACTGAAGGGAGAGTGTGTAAACACAGAGGAAGGAGGCTTGGAAGGAGGTACTGGAAAAATGCTAAAAAGCAGATACAAAAGGAAAAGGCAAGTTATACAATAGTTGACATAAGAACTGGAAAGGGGCAGCGGAAAGCAGATAGCAAAAAAAGGAAGAAGAAAGCACTGTAAAACTTTCACTCTTGTAGTTATACCACCTGCGACATAAAGCAAGCGTTTTTGCCAGTACAGCCAGAAGAATCACTTCCACCGGTGCCTGCTTTACCTGAAAGTTTCCTCTTGGAGTTGCTCTAATTGAGTCTGCAGCTGCAAATGCCTACGACCTGCAGGGCTGTTGGGATCTTCAATGGAATCAGACTGGTTAAGGCGCTCCATCAGAATCTGGTTTTCGGCAAGTAAACTGCTCTTCTCCTCCTGAAGGGCAGCAACCTGTTGTAACAAAAGCAGTAATAACAAAGCTATCAGCTATGAAGATGCACAAAGCTGTCTCTTTTGTGTGTGCAACAAAATATTAGCACAAACCACAAATGGAAACATATAGGTTCCATATTCACATTTTACCAAAAAGACACCACACAATTAATAGCTAGGCAACTGCTATGTGTTGTAAACAATATATTTTAATGTTAAGGATAGGCCTTATCATATATAAAATGCAGATCTTAACTCTATTTCTGGAGCAGAAATAGAGCAGAAATAAATTTTAAAGCAGCTAAATGAAAAGTCTTAATTATCACTGCAAAAGACTTAATCATTTTACAGTCTGCTTCCTTTCCAAAAACCAAAGAACCCTACAGTAAAGCCATTTAAGCTTTCTTGTTCTAGAAGAAAGAACACACAGTGAATATCCGAGTCCGGATACCCCAAGTCATGGCTATGGCCTTCCTAGAATTCTCATTTTTAACCAGTGGCCAGTTGCAAGCAAATGTGAAACAGGAACACATGTCCCAAAGGATTCCGTTTCTGGGAAAACAGGCAATGGTGCAGAGCATCCAAAGTGCTGCAACTCAAAGGACTGCTGAAGCATGAACTCATATATTAGATACTATAAAATTAACATGCAAGCAGGAGTAAAAAAGAGGGAATATGAAATTTTCAAAAGATTGAAATACTTTAGTCATAGCTTGCATTAGGTACACAAATAAATAAGCAAATAAATCATTAAGCACAAACAAAGATACAAAACTTTCTCAGTTCTAATGGTTGCTGAACTGCTCAGCATAAGCACAAACTATAACCCAAAGCAAAGCTTCACTGAAATAGCCTTTTTGGGCTCCTTGTTTGGTTGGTCGTGTCTTCCAGGGGAGGTAAGCACGATTTACAATAAAGCTTAGTATAAAGTCATTCACAGGTGATGCAGTAACTCAAAAGTGGGTGTCATTTCTTATTGAACTTGCTATAACAGCACATCCTCCAGGAGTTTTCCCATTCACGAGCTGAAACCTACTCTTTCCTACCTGAAGTGTGACTAGTATGAAACATCTTAATACTGACATTACAGTACCAAGGCAAGAGATCAGGAACTTCTCTCTGGCAGTACAAGTAAAACAACAGAACTGCTGTGCAGTTTTCTTCTTTTTCGTCTTCTGAGGCTAAAAATTAACAAGTCTCTTTCTCACTGTGATATTAATATATTCAATATATTACCTACCTGCATATCTAACTCATGACATCTCTGAGCGATTTCTTCTTTTGTTGCTAGTGCTTCATTTAATTCTTCTGTAGTTTTCTTCAGCTATCATAAAAACAAGCATTTTTTAGTTTCACTATTCTCTGTATATTGTTTAAAAAAAATTTTCTAAACTACATGACCATAAAATTGTTTTTGCATTTGGGCAATAGATTTTTTTTGAAAAGTAAGGCAATTCTGCTTTTAAAAAGCAGCAAAGCAGAGAATACTTTAGTTTTAGTGGCCAGCAAAAATATCTGATATTAATATTTAGTCTTAGACAAATACTAAAGTTACGACATTTACTCCAAGAATTTAATTCAATCCCCCTGAAAAGTTTAAAGGCAAAGAATTCGCCAACTCTGTACACTAAAAAAATTGTCAACACCACTTTTCTTTACAGATGCAAAGACTGCACAATTTCAGTTTTTATCTACTATTCAAATACACAAAGGATTGGAAGGTGGAATATAGGGAATAGACAATTAAGGTAAAATCTGTCTAGTCACTGGGAACTACTCCTACTGCACAACAAGAATACAATTAACATGGTGATGAAGAATACTACCCTTTTGAAACAGACACTAAACATACAAGCAGTATAGAGAAAATCAGAGATTTCTCTTTAAGGACTTTATAAGACATGTATCCTTCAAGTTTGCATATCAATGCAATCAGGATAACATAAAAAATAGAGTACAAGAAAACTAGTCTATAAAAAAAATGCAACACATGTATTTGTACAATGACAGCTACAGGTGCACATATATTATAAAATACAGGATCAATTTTAGATGGGCCTTCTGCCTTTTCCCAAACAGGATCACCATGTCTTATTTCTCAAGGGACTGCTGACGTACAAACAACAATTCCTTCTGTCAGCATTTACAGGCTTCTTCAAAGACAATATGATGGAGGAATGCAGGCAATATCACTGTACTATATAATTCTAGTGCATTAGTAGGACAATGTTAGGACCAAGTTAAGCTCTCTAAGCAGAAACACAGCTGGTTTGCCATTTTCTCTAAATGTAATGGACAGTGAAGAACTCTCTTCACACCTCCTCATACGGATTGTGACAGTTCCCAGGACTGCTTCAAGGATTTTTAAGCCATATTTAATTTTTTTTCATTGACTTTTTAAATGGCAAAACTGAAATGGCAAAAAAAGATTTGTTTTAATATTAGGAACTCTTTTTTTTCTCATCATCCAAAGATTGGATGGTCTTCAATTTTGCTATACCATAATGCCAAATAGCTAATATTATTTTCCAAAATGAGTTCTTCTTTCCTTTAAATACACAAAATGGGTAAACTCAGTCTATAAAGTAAAAGGATTTGACATATTGAAGTTTAATTTTCTATTCTATTTTGAATTTACCACAAAACCATTCCATGGTTAAAGAGACATATTTCTAAGAACAAAGCAAAGTGACTGGGCACTGATTTCCTATAATTAAAGGAAAAGAAACATCTAGTCTTAGATACCTGACGATCAAGGTCAACGTAAGCATCATTTCCAACAGAGACTGGAGACTCTTTACTCATCAACTGCAATTAGATTACACTGGATTAGAAAAGCAAAATACTTATTTATATATTAAAAGCTAAGCTTCAAAGGAAAAAAAGAAAAGCAAGCTGATTTTAACTTCTGGGCATTTTTGCTCTAACAGTATCAAAAACTTCCACTCCATATTTATATGCAACATAGAAATCATAAAATTTTCAGAAATTACAAAATTTAAAAGAATTTAAAGAAAATTAAAAGAAAAACAAACATACACAGTTTTCTGAATAAAAAGAAAGGCATATTCTTTCTCTATCATGAAACCTACAATTCTCTTTGGAAAGTATTTTTTGAAGCAGTATTAGGATAGTAGTAGCGATCAATTTATCAGTCAAAATCTGTCTCATATTGTTCTATCAGTGGTTTTCATTTTTGGATTATTTGCAAATCCACATGATTTTTTTCCCCAAATAAAACTGGGGACATACTTAATTCAAAGAAATGTGCAAAGGATAAACAGACCTTTATCTGTAATGTGCAAATTAAAAAAAAAAATTGTAAGATTATTTTTGAAGCAAATATTATAATTTTCTGTATACTGACTTATCTATTTGACTGCAAGAGGTCTTTATTATTTTTTGGAAACCATTATTTTTGGAAACTCATGGCTTAAAGGTCATCTCCAAACTGACTGGTGTGCTTATTGAAAGAAAAAAGTAGCTGATAATTAGTTTTCTTTCAACAACCACACTCACTGATAAAAATAGTTAAAATTCTCAACTATAACAGAACTCTTATACGAAAGACATTTTCCCAACCATCTCCAGCAAACATACTGAAGTGCTATTAATGCTGAAAGTTATGATTAGTTCCCTAAGAGATAAGAACAATGAGAACTCTCCTTCCCAAAAAAGGTATGTTGCAAATAACTCAAAAGGAAGCATTATGGAAGCACATTCACTGTGGATAGTGGTAAGATAGAAAAAAATTTATCACTCTCAGTGGCATGACTCATGGAAGTTATGAGCCAAAAGACAAAAAGTACATATAGAAAAGTATCTTAACCAAAATCAAAGCTAGATTCCTCCCCTCAGTCTTGCCTAGGATTCCTGTCCAGCTTGATTACTCTCTTCAGTTCCCATTATTTCCTGCAGAAGCTAATGCTTTAGCATTGCATTTCATGGGCAAAGTTCTGATACAGAGAAGAGTGTTTTCACTTCCCCTCATGCTTAAACCACTGTAAAACCCTGTATTTGACATTCACATATTTATACCCTTAGGCCTCTCTCCTTTTCCTCCATCTCCTTAATTGGAATCTATCAGAGTCCTGTGTATTTAAATTCATCTCATCTTTTCTCAGAAGTTCCTCCTCCCTCCCAGGCCTTGATTCCATTTGCTCCTAATTACTAAATTCCTTCCATTTTGTCTGCATTTCTACAATGACAAAGTACTCTGAAATTACGCATTCCTTGAAGCCTAGATCATATGGAGGAATAGTTAGAAGTTCCCAGCCTCAGAGCTGTCTCCCTGAGAAACAGTCATGTATCTTCATCTTTACCATACACAGGGACATTACAAACTTCTATTTAATTTAAGGTCATGTTTTCAGGACCGAGTATTGTTTTGCTACCCAAAATAAGAATTTCCAGTTCTTCTCTGCTCAGTGACGCTTGTAGCTCTTTTAATTACTCCATTTCTCCTTTAATAAAAACCTTTTCCAGATGACTGATAGGGATGGCAAGGTTAAGCAAGTACTTCCTCTTCAGAAACTGTTTAAGAGCCTTGCCCAGCAATGAACTAATTAGCAGCAGTGCAGGAGCCTGTAAAACCCACTAGAGGCCACTGTGGTGTTGCTGCTTTCCGTGGACTTGGGCAGAGGAAACAAGTCCGAACCAATAATCCCTTCGTTCATCAGCGGCTTTTGACACCACTCCCAAATCCTCCTACACTTTGCATTGCTCAGCAGAAATGAGGAATAGGAGAGGACACTGGGTGGAGAAGGATGGAGCAAGGAAGGCCGAGTGCAGAGGTGTGGGTGGATCACGAGGAATGCACTGAACCGAGGATGGCAGTGGGTAGGGTGCATCACGAATATGGAGCAAAAATCCTCTCCTAAGAGCTTATCCATGTTTGTCTGCACATCTCCCCACACATCTACCATCGACCTCTCTGCTGAGAGGGAATATCCCAACTGGGTTCTGCTTCCAGCCTGCCTCTTCCCAATTCCACCACTTATAAAACTGATTTGACTTCCAGAGGATTTCCTTCAAAAAAAACAATAACTGCTTTAATGAAGACTGCATTTTAATATTACAAGCAGATATGGAGATCAACTCAAAAACACACTTCCCATCTAAAAAAATGAAGGTACAGACTGCCACAGGTTCCCCTTTCATATTGCTCCCATACAATCAATCATTGGGCTCCAACAGTACTGTAGTTCGGCACTCCAAAAGACTCACTGCTTTAGTCTGCGGAATGTCATGTTATCCCTTTCTGAATTATCTCTTCCTAATCTGATACATCAGTAGTACAGCAGTACATTCTGCTTTAAGGCAAATTTCCTTAGTGTGCTCTGCTGTGTTATCTTCACCTGGAAGCTCATACTGGGCTCCTGAAATACTTCTGTACTTCTTCATATACGTCAAGGACCAGTGGCTTCAGAAACCGACCTGCAAGCTGGTTTCTAATGAACCAGGGTAACTTGGGAGGTTTCAGCCAACACTGGTATTTCAGGCCTGGAGAGGCAACCATTAGCTCACTTGTTTCAAGAACCAGAACTGGCTGACCTTGAGAATAAAAAGCAGAAGGAAATGGTCTTTTTGTTCTCCTTTCAAAGCTGCAAGTTTCCTTATTCGGAAAGCAAACTATAGGTGGGCAAAAAGCTCTACTTTCACAGTCTTGCAGCACCAGAATGGCTTTTAGCTTCAAAGTCATAATTTGGCTCACAGAGTATTATAATTTACTTCCACCTGCAGCTTTTATGAACAGTGATGTACAAATATTTTTCAAATGAATTTGTCAAAAAAAAAAAAAAGAGAGGAAATGAAAAAACCGCATGCAATATCCAACAATAAGCACGTCTCAAAAGGAAGTCTGCTCAAGAGCTTCCAACAGTGTAAAAAAAGCAAGCAATTAACACATACTTTCCCCTTCTTGTGCTAGCTTATTGTACATGTTTAGAATGAGGAATAAGTGGCATAAGTATGTGTTTGAACAATCAAAATGTCATTTAAAATCAAATGAGCTTATTCTGTGGTGAAGAACTCATTCTGGATTTGAAAGTCACAGTAACCTGGGCAAGGAGCCTTTTTTTTTCCCCACTTCTTAGTCCGGTTTTATGAGAAGCAGTTGACATTCCCTATGCTGCTAATGTTAATTCTTGTAACTACACATTTTCATGCTCACAGCTTTGACAAGAAGCTTTACAAAATAATTGAGATCTGCTAGTTTTATATTACTAAAATCTTTACTTTTTGACTGACTTGTTTGTGACTATCAGTAATTTGCATTGTCATGGATACACAGGGATGGGGGAGGGATCAAGCTACCACAAATCTGCATGGGATAATGGGCAGGGATAATCTGAAATTTTGTACAAATGAGTAGCATGATTCTACAAAGGCAGCTGGCACCACGTACTCAAATGTCCTTTTAAGTTCAAAATATTTCCTTTATATGAAATGCTTCTACAGTTGTTCGTAGTCTGCAGACTCACTTCACTGGACTTGAAACTACATCAAACTTTTCCGTTTACAGGAGGGTTTTTCTTCCCTTTTTTTTTTTTTTTTTTTTTTAAAAAAGAAACCATTTCTTATAAAGATCCAAGGCTGCATATAAAATAATCTGTATCCTTTAATAGAGCAGGACTTTTCCCTTCTTCCAGTATTGACATATCCAATGAAATATTATTCTATCATTTTCTCACCATTTGAAAGCTACTTTTACTTAGTACAAGACAAATCTTTAAATACTAAGAACACAATAAAGGACAAAAATTTTCTGCTTGGTGGAAATAACATTATTAAGTTCTTTTAGCTATGCACCATAAGCAAGTTTGGACAGTGTTTCTACTACTCTGATTCTTAATTTGACCTGCACAGAGAAAGGAAAAACACCTGCTAAGTAATCAAATCAGAGATGTTCAAAAGTGCTAAAAGCAAAAATCCCACAGAAAAATCAATAATGAAGCTTCCTTAGTTAATTAAGGAACACTTAGTTACGCAAAAGACTTTGAAAATTAACAGCAGAACTTCCAAAGAACAAGAAACTATCATTATGGGGTTTTTTTCTCTCTCTTTTTTTTTCTTTCTTTTTTTTTTTTTTAAAAATTATATCTGGAAAAGTTTTTGGCCATTAAAATATAGGGAAATTATTAAACTAAAAAATATATGTATTAGTCATATAGTTTTATATCACTTAGTCATGTCATCTAGCACTATATTCTCATATGATATATCAGTTGCAAGTAATAAATTGCAATAAGCTATAAACAAAACAATACTACTATATAATATATATATATATATATATATAAACATAAAAACATATAATACTTTTTTTGACTATTCTTTACTAGTCGTATCATTCTTGTCCTCCTCTACTCTGCACACAGCTTGCCTTTGGAAATGGAAATTTGCAGATTAAGATACAAGAATCTAGCTGGTAATAACATCAATATTTACTGAATAATAACAGAAAATCATTGAAAAACTCCTATGTTGTCTATAAAGTATAAGGGATATCTTGATTCCTACTGCTTTACTCTAGGCATTAAATAAACAAAGAAAATGCTGAAGGATCACTAGGGAATCAAGAAAACTGAAGCTAATTTAGCAAATAATTTCATATATATAATGCTCATTTTGCCATTTGAAAAAACAGCCTTTTCATGCAAAAGTAGAAAACAGGAAAGATGCTTGTTCAACCACGGCTTGAAAAATATTTTCATGACTACGATGATACATGAAAACCAAAGAATTAGCAAACATAATTATATAAACAAAAATGAATTACATAACACATCAGTAAAAATTAAAGAGGTCTTTTTACATAGCAGTTCTCAAAGAATATGTAACTGCATGTCAGAAGCTTTGAAATGTTTGGATTAGATGACATGATACCAACTTTTGCAATATGCTTATATAGTAATTTTCCTATACTCTTTGTTTTGGTGTCTCCTCTACACTACTTATTTGGTTCCAATCTCTTGTTTCCAAGAGCTGCTCTAAGTCATCCATGGAAGAGAAACAAACTCCCCTAAATCCAGAGGGAGTTTGGATTTAGGGACACAGACAGATTGCCACTGCAGCTCTGGAAATACTCCTGAGATCTACCTCGTCTTTCTGGTGTGTTTCATATGAGCTTTGCTGGATGAGTATCTGAGAGCCTCCCCATATGGTTCTGAATGCCATGGACTTCAGAAACCTGCATTAAGAGTCACACAGACATGTGCAGGTCTCTGGGTGGAAACCACTGAGATTCTAGTTTACATTTAGAAAAAAAAGAGATATATCAGTAATGGCCTGGAAAGAGCAAAAAATGGGAAGAACTTTCAGAAGTGTTACTTTCTCTGAAACTTTTGCCATGCTTTCTTGTTAGAAAGTATAGCTATGTTTTCATTTTAGATTTCCTACTTCCCTTACTAGACTGGCCTGCAGTTAATCTTCATCTAGGAATACTAACTCTGAGCACGGGAGAAGTCACTCAAGAGCTTTAGATGGCAATAGTGGTCACTCACACTCTGTATTTAATTTTTTTTCTCTTCATTCTGCCATAGGCTGTTTTCAGTGTGATTCACCAGTTAAACAAGATTGGAAATGCATTCTTGCATATAGAAACTCTCCAGGCTAATGACTATAAAGGACAACAGAAAAATGATCTTTTCCACCACAAGACTCTTGAGAACAAACCAAGTTTCCTAATACTGAAAAACAATTTTATAAGATACACTACAGTACATTTACTAACATGCTACAAAGAATTAGCAGAAATACCTGAATTAGCCTATTAATTATATTAAATATTATTATTTAGTATTATTACACTAAAAAAGACAAAATAATCTTCTATTATATATTTCTCTTCCTTTCACTTGTCCAATAACAAAATCTAGCAATTCATGGAGTTCTGCAAATATATGGTTGAAAGAAACTCTACATTATTCAGTTACTTATATACAAGGAGTTTAGTGTACTTTAGGAGCCACACGGTAGGAAAAGTAAAGGAAGGGGAACCCAGTATAAAAACATCTAGAAGTTTAAATCTTCTAGATTTAAAGAAAAGTGGGGCATTCAACCAGAATTCTGTGACAGAAAGCAAGATTGATGGAGTTGTTTTTCCACGGCAAAATAAGAAGATAGCCTTCATTCTGAAACTGCAATCTACGTTCCTTATTTTATCCAACTTTTTTTGTTGTTGTTTTCGTAATTAGAAAAAATATGCTTTTGTAAAATATGGAAGGATGAACTTTTACACAGTATGAGTATTCCAGCATACCTCCTGAATGGCTGTCATGACAACATGTTGAACTGATTCTTCCATCATCATTATGGTCTGGATGTACTCTGGAAAAAAAGAAAAAAAAAACAATCTGGAATGTCATTGTTGAAACCTAAGAAAATTACATGTAACATGAGGTCAGCAGCTGCATTTTTCCTATAAGCTAAGCAGGTGCTGCAGATAACACTGAAATGCATAACCATCACTCAGGTCCCTGCCCAACAGCTCAAAAGCATCAGATAGTCTATTCAGACATAGATCCAGGCTTACTAGAACAGTCAAAAACATAGATGGATATAACGGCCAAACCTCCCCACTCCCCCTTTTTTTTTTTTTTTTTTAACCCCTGCATCCCACACTTTAATTAACTTCTCAGATAACTACCCATTCTACAAATACTCTTCTCCCAAAACTGCACCCAGAAAAACAAACAATTTTGGTCACGCAAGTATGTGATCAAAGGATGAGATGCCTTTTCCATAAATTTAAGTTTTAAGCACTGCCCTTCTGCAGCATTCTAATCTTAAGGCCTTTTCAATAGGTCCTGCCATTGTTTTCATTGTTTTCTTCTTATCTCGAGCTTCTCCAGTGGTTAAAACAACAAATTGGTTTAAACCAAACCAAGGAATTACTAACTTACTCAGTATCAGAGATTTTCCAATCGGGTATTATGACAGTTTTTGTATGCCAAATGTATTCTTTTGTGGTTTATCCAAGAGGAATATGTTGGGAATTAATCACCTCAGTGTGATTAACCAAATCATGTCAAGTCTCACTAAAAGTACACTGAGCTTTGAGTGTTTACATGATTCCACCATGATTCCACATGATTCCATCTTTTAATGATCAGACTGCAAGAGTATGGGAAAGTACAAGAAAATATATATTTCTCATTGAGGGATGCCAAGTAGTCACCAAGAGGAAGAGAGAGAATTTTTCTTCTAAACAGGATAGACAGGAGGCCTCTGTTAATGTATCAGAGCTATTCATGCACTTAAGGATGAAAAATATTTCTATTTTGATTCAAAAGAAGGCCAGTCTGTCTCCTGCTTAAGGGAAAAATAGAAGCCACTTCAGAATTACAGAATAAAATTATTTAGATACCTAAAACAAAAACAAAAAGGGAAAGTAGCTATAAAAGCTAAAAGAGTCCACTGCAAGAGGAAGACGAAAGATCTGACACCCTTGCTGCCATTTCCAGAAACACAAACAAGGTAAGTCAAGGAAAGAAAACACAACAGCCATAGGAAAACATAATAGCCAAATCCTTTCATTTATCCAACTCTGCATTTTATAACTTCTTATTACTATGTTTTTGCTCCTAAGCACTAAAAAACAAATGTTTGTAGTTTCATGTGTACCCTAACCAGGCTTAATTAACTACTTTGTCTACAGTAGCTGCACACAAATTGAAGAGGTCCTTATTTGTGTCCCAAATAGCCTTCAGGGTCATTTTAGATGCCCTTAAGGTATCCAACAGATTCAGCCTTCAGATGTTTAGTCTCCAGATGCCATCTAGAAAGGCCCAGTCATTCATGTGCTTGTACCTATATGATTATCTCCTGCAGAAATTTTGCAAACTGATGTCCCACATGGCACCAGACATCCCTTCAGACCAACTCCTAGTGATTCTGAGGACTTTGATATATGGCAAGATACCTAAATGCGTTCCTGAACCCAAGATCACACAAAAGAGAATGACAATTGAGCCTGTAGATTCTTAAACACACAGAGCTATCCCATACACCAAATGTTAAAGGTCAGGCCCAGGAGTTTTGCTTTGTAGAGCTCTCTTCCACCTCAGCTACCAAATACCAAAATTGCATATGTTGGAATCACCACCAGTTCAGACTGGTTCACAGTTAATTTTGTAAAAGAACATTAGTTACTATCTGTAAAACAAAATAATGTCATGGCCTATAAAAACAAACTTGTCTCTGATCGCAACCTGAGAAACATGATTTTCCCCTAGGTAATTTGCACATTTTCTATTTTCATTCACTGTCCTGGGAGCAAAATAAGCTTTCAGATTTTATTACCTTGCTTCTGTTCACAGTTCACAGCACATCCCAAAATGAGCTGCAGCATTCTCCCGAGCTCTGCAGCATCAGCGTGCTCTCCAATGAGGTTAACATCAGGAAGGGTGAAGTCATTAATCTGTTGCCCTAAAATCTGTATAAAGACCCAAAATATACTTATCTGTATCACTGCAAATTTTTACAAATTCAAAAAAAATACAAAGATGATTCAGATTCAACAGGAAGAAGACATTTTAACAAGACATCTATTTTAATAAAATTTTCAATCCATCTTGAAAGAAAAATTCATAACAGCAGCTTATATACAGATTTCTGTCCATAACACTTGACACAACTAAAATTTGGGGAAAATGTAGAACATGAACATCTCAACTAAAAATAAACTATAATTTTCAAACTTAGCAGGATATTTTTTTTTATTCCAGATAAGAAAACGCAGCATAGATAGACTCAAAATAAAAGTCAACAATATTTGGATAACTAGTCATTTAATGCTCTATATAAACTATGTCTAATGCCCAAAAACATTTTAGGCAGCACAGAATATTGCATTCAGGGCTCACATTCTGCACCATGAGAAAATGTCAAGAAATTAAAATATTTCACATATGGAAAGGTGGCCAGCATTAATGGGATGACAAAGGTGGCACTGTAAAGTATTTGGCCATTTGGCCTCACATTTTCATAGGATTCAAGGAATTTAGCAAGTCCCAGAGCTAAAAAAGCTAATTCTATAGAAAAGAATTTGACATATTAGCACAACACATAACTAAAAACAATGCATTCAAATTAAAAAAAAAAAGGACTAAAAAAGGAGAAAAAAAAAACATGTGACTGCAACTAATGTAATCTATTTCATAATTAAAAAGAATTTACATTAATGATTGTCAGTAGAGGGAATTAAACAATTCAGCTAGATTGTTTTCAAGTAGCTTTCAGGGGGCTGAAAATAGGAATATGAAATGTGGAATTAAACACATTTCTGACAGATTAATGGCAGATATAAAGGAACTGTCAACTCTTAAGCAGGGTGCAATAAAGAAACAACGACAATGGAATCAGTCATTTGTTTGCCAAATGCTCTTTTTTATTTTAATATGCAAGAAAAACAGAAAAGCAGGAAAAAGGTACTTTAAAAAAGTACATGAAGAATAGGTAGAAATAAAACTATTAAAACTGTTAGAAGTTTTTCAAGGTTGCATCTTGTGGAATCATTGTTTCTGGTTTTTTGTTTTGTTTTAGCAAGTTCCTCAAAGAATGAACACCAACAGTACTACTAAGACCTTTGTATACTTTATAGAATTCAAAACCAATCTGCATGAAAAGACTATTTTCATTCTACTGAAAAATAAAAATCCTGTGAAAGCATCGAATACAATAGAAACTTTTGCTATTGTACACAGCCTTGCAAAAATGCAATCAAATACAATATTCCTTGCACCATGCCAACCTGTTACGTTTATATGTGCGCAAGAACTTCTGGAGAAGGCTAACCCCTGAGAACAGGCCATGAGAATCCCCACACACTTAACACTTCAAACAAGAAGACCTAATGAATCTGCAGGATACATGTACCTTAAGCAGGTTAAAACAACAACAGCAACAAAAACAAACCCAAAAAGAATAGTAAATATATTTTACTTAAAACTGTTCTTACCTCATGGTTGTAATCCAGTATCCCTTTCAAAATTTTCTTCAGGTTGCTTACCTATGGGAAAGGAAGAGGATGGAAACACAGTAAATACACGGAATGCATCACAGAAACATGATCATAAAGCAGTCAATCAAGGAACAATCACACAGAAGTGTAATTACATCTATTTGCACGCCAATGAGGTTATGTTAGGGTCACAGAAGTTATGCAACTGTCTCTTGTGATCAGACTTGCAGATTGGATCACAAATCTACATAAACTGATAGAAACCACTTAAGTCTATGAAGAAACAGTATATACAGTATTTTGGGGGGATTTTGGAGATCTGAAAAGTCTTTTTTTTCTCTATTTTCTTTCCCTGAAATATCCTAGTCCATAGTGACTTTCTTTCTAGGGATGTGGATCTCCACTTCTAAAACCACTCAACATTCAAACCAACTACTCCTTTCTCTCAAATCTACTCAACTTTGTTTTTAATGTTCTCATTAAGTATTCCTCTCAAGCCCATCATTTTTGTTGGTCCCCCCACTCTGAATTCTTGGCAACTGAATGTCTATATTACACCATCAAGGCGAGATCCCACAAAACTCTGCAAGTCTTCAGTGCCATACAAAGAGCTTCTGTTTCACTTTCATAACCAGAAGCATAGGTTAGATTCCATAGAGTAGGAGGCATTTATGCAGCATTTCTCTAGTGCTGAGGAGTTTCTACTTCCCTTCTGGTAAAAAACCAAACCCATTTAGATCAAGTCCCAGATGAAGAATGCATGAAAAATTCTTAAAAAAAAAAAAAAAAAAAAAGAACCGCACACAATGGTTCTCATAGACGATGTTCAGAATAAACAAATCTTTGATGAAAGCGATGAAAGTGTCTCTTAACAGGTTCTCTCAAAGTAATGTTCAGGTATTTAAGCACTGTATTCAGGTGATGGAAGCAGTGTACTGTCTCATATAAGTTTAAAAAAGAAGTTCTATAAAGGTTGAATACAAATGAGGAGGATGTCTAGAGAAATGAATAACCACATCCCAATTCATGCATTTTTGTGATAGGCCTGGACAGCTCAAGAATAAAGAATTGGGACTCATAAGCTGCCTAATGCTGACCACAGCAGTTGCAGTTATGAACTTTGGAACTATAGTAGGGGAGTAAAAAAATCCAATTAAAATTCTTAATTCATACTGCAATTCAAAATTGCAGTATCTTTCATGTTCTTGTTTACATTCTGAAACTGCTCAAAGATATTCTTCCTACTATCTAGCTTCCAAAAGACTTATTACAAAAAAAAAAAAAAAAAACAAAGCAGAGAGACATGGACAGACTAAACATTCCAACACAGACTACAATTAGAGAAAACAAGGTGATAAAAGCTAAATTTGATTCCTTTCATCACAGAAACTCAAGAATGAGACAGGCTACACCACTCAAAAGATGTACCCCTGACCTAAGCGATAATGATGCAACTACATCACTCCTACCAACTCCCTTTCTCTAGAAACCACTAGCCAAAACTGACCTCTTACAAACATACAAAGTCTTTCTTGGGAAAGTTTCACAGTAGTCTTCATAATCACTGAACTTGAAATCATACCAAAAAAAACAAAAAGTATTCCTCTTGGGTATTAAAAATGACATACCAAACACTCTGGCAACCTACAGTGAAAGTTGGAGATGATACATGATAACATGGAAATAACAATTACTGTTCTTTCATCATGCTAAAAAGAATTTGATTTTTTCAAGATTTATCCCTTCTCCTCCCCTCAAATGTGTTTTCCTTCTGATATCGCAATTACACCACACTTCCAGTTGTCTGCAAAAGGCAATCACCACCATCTCTCAAGGGCTATGAACAATAAGAAACAAAGTCTGCAGCAAATTTAAGAATTTCAAGAAAATCATTTCATTTTGATCAAATCAGGAGTACCGTACTGATTGGAATATAATTTTCAAACTTGATTCGTTAAAATCTTCCATTTTGTAATTTACCTGTGTCTGCTGCAGAAAGTGGCACAGAAACCCATGGGCCAAGCTGCAGAATTTAAGTCCAGTTTAGCGATGAGAACATTGTGAGGAACCTTGAACTTGAAAATAATCCCAAAAATGAGAGAAACGAATTGGAAATACTAGTCTAAGAAAACAATCTTTTTTAATTTTTATTATCCCTTAAAGGAAAGGGTCATTTTTCTCCAAATAATTTCCATATAGCTTTTAACTGAGATGCTAGAATGAAAAAAGAGAAAAAAAAAATTGATCATAGTCTCTCACAAAAACTAACGGAGATAACTGCAGTCTCTGAAAAGGAAAATGGCAAATACATCTTCTTTTTGAGGCTCTAGTTGATTCCATTCTCAATAACTGGTACCAGGATAAGGCTTAAGTGTGACCTGCATCATCTTTGTATTAGAAACACACTCAGTTATAAAGCTAGTGCAACTTCTTACTGGCTTAATATATAGGCTGGCTTAAGTTTATCAACGATCTTCAGTGCTCATTGGAGGGGAGCCCCTCTTTTGTTTTGTTTTTCATTTGCCTGTAATAAATACACCTAAATGGATCTACTGCCACTGCCAGAAAATAATCATGGGAAACCTCCACCATTAATATTTGGCAAATCAGAGCATAAATTCTTACAACAAAAACCTTAAGCAGAAATGTTTTAAAAAGAACAACAGCTGTAGCAACAGAAAAACACAGAAAAGTGCTAAAGTGCTAAAGACAACTGGTTACTTTCAGAACACTAAATCAAAGCAAGTAACTGCTATTCTTTTTTCTTAAGGACATGAAGAAGTTAACTGTAAGAGTTACAAAAGAGCATTAAATCATTCAATGAGAGAACAAAAGTAATTTACAATATGTATTATGACTATAAAATGCCATGTTTTTCTTCAGATATAAGCTGATGATCACATGAGATAACTATTTGATTACATCAGCAACATAATGTCTTCCTTTTCCATATCATAGAATCACACTTCTCCTCCCTATCCCTTTCACATTCATTCATTCCCTGCACCTGCTTGGAAAAAAACAGGAAATTTTGGAGAAGAACAGTGAGCACTATCAAAGCAGTCACAAATCAGAATAGTTTATTTTCTGTTTTTCCTCCTCTCACCTCTCATATGAAATTTCTATTCTTATTTAACTGCAAGTCACTGATTCCAAATACAGAATCTATAAGGGTATTCTGTCTAGATACTTCTCTTCAGGAATATATTTGAGCATGAAAGAGAAGAAAGCCTGATGAAATGGAAAACAGAAATGATACTAAATACTAACAAAAAGGGAACCAAGGTTACTTAAGTTCTTGTTTACTCTCTAGGCACTATAGAAGCTGGTTCCAAATTTTGCATTTATACTTAGAATATATGCATGACCAAAGCCCTGCTTCTCCTGAAGTCTCTGGGTAACATAAGCTGACTTTTCCCTGCAGTTCCTGAGTGTCTGAATGGGAACCCTAATGTTCTAACCTCCTGCTAAACAGTAAATTTTCTGTGTAATTACACATAGGTCTACTTTCCTTCGAAATTTATAATTAACTACCTTATAAGCTTGTTGCAAGGGCACAGACTTTAAGTGCTGGAAGAACTCGTAAGTCTTCAAATGTAGAAAATTAAGGAAGATATCCCTCCTGACTGCATTTCACAAAATGGGAGTATACGTGCATGCACACTTCTAACCTTGTACATCAGATTTCTGCTCTAAAATACATCTGCAGGAGTCTGTTTTCTCTGATAATAAATGAAGCCATAAGAGCTTCATTTACAGTTTTGGAACATACTCCTCTCCAAAATATGTTTTACAAAAGAATCCCAAGAATTTGCTTGTATCTTTGCAAAAAAGATAGAGTCATTTTCCTAAGCTAAAAAGAAAAAAAAAAAAAAAAAAGTTGTTAAAAAGGGCATCCAAGATGAGTTAGCATCCACAGATTGAACTTATATGGAGAGACACAGTGATTTAGGCATTGCAGGTGGACATGAACAGAGCTAAATATATTAGTTAATTATCTTCTTGGCAGAAACGCATACTGGTATGACTTACAGTCTGTGCTTCTTGTAGAATTTATCAGAAAAAATATTTTCATGTGACAGGCTCCTACCCTCATCAGAAAGAAAAAAAGAAAAATAAAAACACTCTAAAAAAACTTAGAAAGTTGTTCATGAGTAAGTGTTCTCTCTCTTCTGCCTTCATATTTGTATATAAGAGAAGGCTGACATTGGATACAAAAAACGGCTACCAAACACCTCACCACAGCAAATCCAGCTGGGCTTTGAGAACAAAACACAAACATAATGAGCTTAAAAACATGGGGAAACACGGGAAGCTAAAGCTAACTCTAAAAAAATCATGTTTGTTTATTTGGACCACATGACTAGTCACTAATTTAATTATTTTATTTTTCAGTACTGGATGAAACAGACAAACTCATCTTTGTAAAACACACGGCACTCAACAAACTCTCAAAGCTACAGGAACATCTAACAGGATCATTTGCTTGAATATACTATTCAGCAATGGAACAAACAGAGCTTGCTTGTATAAACAAAGGTCAAATGTATTTTAAAATGATGCTTCAGATGGAATGTCAAGGCAAATGTCCAGAAGAAACAGTCAGAAATCAAACAGAACAACATATTTCTTTCTGCTCCCAGACTAGGTACAGACACACTGCACAAAGTGGAATAAAAAGTGTCAGATTTTTTTCCCATCCTTCGGGCAGTCTATGACATTTTCTGTAATCACCAAAAAAAAAAAAAAGGTGATAAAATTCAGGGACTAACGTGTGTGTATCAAATAATTAACCAGGTATATTTCTATTCTGTTATTCTATATTGCTATTTTTATGTCTCTGACACTGAAATATGCCTTTTTATTGACGAGGGAACTTCATTCCTACAAAATCTTGATAGCACGACTTTTATGTGCTGTTTCTCAGTTTCAGTGAAGGTTATTTTGTCTTCAGAATATGTCAACATGAAATATTGGTGCGCTGGCAATCTAAGTTCTGAATATGTTCAAGCGTTCAACTATGCATCACATAAAGAAGTATGTGCTTGCTTTTGTAGATTTTTCTTTAAATGATATAAAACTTTAAGTTATCACTGAGGAGGGTTTTTGTTCCCTCATTAAAAAAAAAAAAAAAAAAAAAAGCTAGACATGCTCACGTTAGCTATGCCTCAAAAATTTTAACCCCGAAGTAGTAACAATTTTTTTCTCTAATAAGCACATTAGGCCAAAGAGACTTCACATGGAGAGCGTAGCTAACTGAATGATCCTCACTTTGCAAACCCCGAGGACTTCTAACAGTTTCTGTTTCTCAGTCCTTCATATTGCTCAGTCTTCAGAGTCAGAAAGCTTATTATAAAATCAAGAATAGAACATCCATTGAATGCATAAGTTTACCTTAAACTGGTACAAATAGAAAAGATTTTGGTAAGACAGCATCCTTGCAGTTATCAGCAAATAAACCAGATAACATTAGCTGACTGAATAAAAGACAAACAAGAAACCTTGGCTCAGTTTTGTTACCTTTTGTGCCTGATAGCATCCAATTCAAGGTTTACAACTACACAGTTTCCTGAATATATTTGTCAGCAGTGATTAGGAGGGCCATACCAGGGAAGTCCAGTAACTTGCACATTATATTTTCTACCCATTTCCCCTCTAGATTCACTCCTTTATGTGGTTCATAATAGTGACAGCTTTTACAAGTATATGACTACTATACCATATGATACTGGAAGCAGAGAACAACCCTGCCTGGCAGCAAGAATATACTTCAACTCATAATCAAAAGGTTTGTGAGACAGCATGACATAATGCTGTTCTAATTAACTTACTGTATCTTAAAATATGAGAGGAAATCTTTATTAAAGAGATGCACAGAAGTATTTTGATTGCATTTTAGATGCTGTGGCAAACCAACAGAAGTACGCAGATTGAAAATGTTCCTACCAGCAGAACTACAAAGATGTACAGAACTGTGTCTGCTCACATATAAAGAACAACAGGTAGCAACGTATAAGATTAATAGTTACACAAGAGCTAAAATTACACATTTCTGCCTTTTAATATCCTTTATGAAAAGGGAGCATGATTTCAAAAGGCTGCAGTATATGCTTCTTTTAAACAGGAACAAAATAACCAGTCTTTAATTCCTTTTTACATGGAAATCTAAAAACCAAGAAGGAATAGCATGAGCAAGAAACAGAAATCTGAGCTGATATTTTCCCAGACTTCAACTGCATGAGGAATTGCTCAGTAATTTTTTTAATTCACATCGGTTAAGCTTTAGTATCTACCAAACTGGTGGGACATAAATTTCCTTCCTCAGACTCCATATGAGAATTACAAGCAGCTGTTCCTTGTTTTCAGTCGACTAAGATGCTGCTGTAATAGGTGGTCCCCAAACTGTGCTCCAAATTTAAGAGACAAGATAAGATTCCTTATAAAAAACCCAGGGGAAAATCCTTAGCTGCTCATTTGTAACTTCACATTCTTTTAAAATTTACTTCAAACTGGACTGTCTTACATGCTGAACCAGCAAGTCTTTTATTCATCAGTTTCTCAATATATCCTTTTCAATATGCCCACATTTTTGCTGGCAAATTTGCTAAACAAGAAATGCTAAAATACTCTAGATCGGTGGCAAACTGGCCAGACAGAAGAGGCCATGGTGACAGTTGGCAAGCTGAAACATATGCAAGAGTATGTTCTGTCCTTTCTTCAGGTGACATGAATGTGTGTGGACCCCCTGCTCAGTCAGTAGTGTTGACCAGACTGCAGAAGTTGGAGCATTTCACAGTTCTACCCCTCTCTCAGATGTTCAGAAGCACTTTGGGGGGCTAGAACAAACTGGTTTTATGGGAGGCATGAACTAGCAGATGAATAATCCTGGTTTTGTTCCCTCCAAGAAACTATGGTAGGAATGGTAATTTAGGGAGGCTCATATATCTTCATTATCTCATTAAATTATTTATCTGTATGATAAAATTGTGTTACTTAGGTTTTATAAATCAACAACTTGCAATGGCACCAGTGTAAATTCTACTGCCTTAAAGGTCTACTACAGGGAAAGTACTAGAATATCAAATTGTACAAATGATCTAAGTAAACAAATTGTGGTCAGAAAACATGCTGAGTACACACGACAGAGGAGCACCACCACTTCCTTTCCCAAAGCTCAGCAGTTTTACAAACCAAAAGAACAAAAAAGAAACAATACTTTGCCTATTTCTGTAAATAAATTGCTTATTTCTTTGCCATTCTTACACAGTTACTTCCCAGAGCTCATTCACCTTTTTTGGAAAGCTACTTTCACACCTCGCAGTCGAAAGAACTGACAAGTTTTCACTCCATTTTGTTGTTCAAATGTTGATTAAAGGACACAGTTCTTTTTTTTTTTTTTTTTAAATAGTTGAAAACAGTTGCCAATTTCTGTATGTTTTTCTTCTTTGAAGTGTGCAGGATTGAAAAATAAGTAAAATTAAGATGGTTTTAATTTCAAGATAACTTAATAAAATGCAAAGTCTTTACTGAGAAATATGCTAAACAATAATTTAAGCACAATATTGAAACTAGAATCAAAATACAGATTTGCAGACAAGCAAAACAAGACAAATACCTTTAGTCTCCAATTATCTCCTACTTCTGTTTTGATCCTGTTTAACCAGTTTTCATCAAAGTAAACCGGATCTCTGAAAAAGAAAGCCGTAATAGAAAACAGGTTTTAAAAGGTTTCAAAATCTGTTAAAGACACTTTGGTGATAAACATTTACTCTGACACAACAAATAACTACAAAATTACTTACCTGTTATTATGCACTTTTCTCACTGCTTACACTTCACTTATATAGCTCACTTTTAGCTATATTCCGCAAGTAGCTAATGTTTTTTTAACTGAAATTACTCCTTTCCTAAAAAGGAAGCCTGAGAGTGAACAATAACTGTCTTCATAAAGTAGGAACAAACAAAAATAGCATTAGAGTTAAGAGTTTATCACTGAGAACACACTTCAATTATTTTATCTATCAAATCTCTTTTTTTTTTTTCCAATACTACTCTTCTGCTAACTTTTTTTTTACTTGTTTGTTAAGTGCCTTCCACAATAGTTGTTCTACCTTCTATACTTCCAATGTGGGAATTAAGATAAATAACTGCTAACACTTGTGTAGCATACTTTTATTTCTGTAGATTTTATCCCTTCCCTCCTCACAAGCACATTCCCCAAACTGCTTCCTCATGAGGCTCCTTCCGAGGCTCTTGCTATCAAGATGTGAAGTTTCTAAAAATGTAACACTTCATAGTGTTTACTAGTAAAGTCCAATTTCACCTCTACCATACCGGTCTTTGCCAATGTTATAGTCAAAAACAAACAAAACTATTTTTAAAGCAATAATTCCGACTGGATTTTCACAGAAAGCTTTCTAATTTCTGGATGTCATGACTGGATTTGCTGCAAAGTACTGTAAGAATACTGCTGTATTCTCTAGACGTGGCTGAACTAAACTCTTTATTTATTTAGTGGCAAGTCAACATGAAATCTTTTATCAGAAATCCAAAAAATGAAACCATGAATTCATCTGAAGATTCAAACAATACCCATATGATATCTACTGTTAACCAGCAATCACATCAGTACTTGTATTTGGGCACTGCCTTTGTAGATGCTCTTTGTACTTGATGCTACTTCTCCTCTATTGTATTTTCTCCCATTTTTCTTCACAAAATGTCAAGTTTACAAGAAGTCCATGCAGCATTACATTGCAAATGTGAGAGATCGCAAACAGTGAAGTTTCTCAGTTGATATATCAGGGTATTATTTTTATACATTCTATACAAACTCCAGTGAAGATTAAGACATGTTTCTTTTCCTCTGACATGGCAAACACAAACATGTAGCTGGAAGAGCACTGCTAATTACTAGTTAAACTGCAGACTCCAAATTGCTCCCATTCAGAAACACTGCATTTGAAGCACAGATGACAAAATCTCAAAGTACAAAACAACAAATGTAAAATCTTACACAGTTTCATCTGGGTTTGAAAGAGACTTTCTCCAAATAGCTTTGAAATGGCCTCTCTGTCCTCAGCAGTGGGTACACAAGAGAATTTTGATTCCAATACTTATATGTAAGTTGATTTTAGGCATTTTTATGAAATAAACCTTCATCTTTGGAAAAGCTCTTACTCTGATTAATTTTGACTTATCACAACTCCATCACCTGAACAGTAAAACACCAGCAGCTGAAGCCTGAATTGTTTAGGTTTGAATTCCAGACTCAAAATTATTTTCACTGCTTAAATACTACAGCACCATGAATAGGACAATACTTCACTTACCATTTTCACTGTTAATAATCAGTCTGAAAAGCAGCATTGGCAAGCTAAGAGATGCCCACAAGCAGAATTCTACTTGAATGTATATCCCATTTTCAACCAGATCATCATTTGAGTTAAAACCGAGTTTAGGGTTCAACTCCAACTCAGTACAATTAGGAGGTCTATAATTCAATAGCAAACAAAAAGCTTCTCAGATTTTTTTTTTATAACAGTTATATCTGGACCAGCAAGTTGCCTTCACTTTCTCAACAGACGCCTTAGACTGCCAACATCTTTATGCTTCTCTTATCAAACATGTATTTTGTGAAGATTCCTGGGAACTAAATCTAAGATAAGTGCGGTAGTCCTCTTTGACAGACACCATTTGTTTTTTTAAGCAGAAAATCTCATGGAAGCATCCAAGGTCCAGCATCTTACTACCAATCCAAAATCATCAACCAAAGTCATTAACATACAGCAGAGGTCAGAAAGGTACTGGATCTCTTTACAGCACCTCAAAATAGATGACAGTCCTGTTGTTACTGTTGTTATGCAGATTACATTACTAGCTACTAGTACCACTTACTATTACATTCTAGTTATTACTAGAAACATCCAAAGAAAGTATTTCTGCCAACAATACCAGAAAAAAACCAAACTGGGTATCAATACCATGAGAATGTAGAAAGATTGCCCTTTCCTGATCTATCTGCAAATCATCTCAATATAATTCTTAATGCACTGTTTTATTTTCAGCTTTGTTCTTAAAAATTCTATCAAGGTTTAGACCTTGAGAACTAATGTGAATGGCAATGATTTCCCTCTATATTGTGCTAATGGAACAAATAATCAGAAACCATTTTTTTTTCCCCATCAGAATTCATGGAAATATTTTGTAAAGGACTTTCCAGATGCTGTTTCCAAAATTACTGGTTACCACAAACATGTCTCGTTAAATATAATCTCTGGGGATCATGACTTAAATATATTTAGAGTTCATGAACTCCTTTAGTCTATGTCAGGCTATCTCCTCTCAAAACGATGTTTGAAAAAGCATCACCTAAGCAAGTACGAGACCAGGTGTCACTGAAAACCAGGGAGCTATGATTATAAAACACCCACCAGTTTATTTTAAAGAAGCACTGCACAAGACCAGCACAAAATTTTAACAAGAGCATCGCCACTACCATGACATAACTTGTTTGAACCAAGCATTTAGGTTCTCTTATTATCACTGAGGCTAAATTCAAAATTGAGGTCTCTGTTGTGCTGGATTAATTTCAGGATTTCTAAAGGCATTTACACACCAGTTCATTCCTGCTTAGTCTTCTAAGCAGGCTGGAGGTAGCTTGCACGGTCCTTCAGGGCACAAGATACTTATGCTGCTGTCAATGGTTATTAGTGCATGTGATGCTGTTCTCAGCGGTGCTCGCTTGCACCATATTCACCTTACTTTGTATGCAAATCTTCCTTTATTTAAGCAATCATCTCTGTCAAAAGACAGAAATACACTCCTGAAGAAAACCAGCCCACTAAGCATGCAGCATAACGCATGATTATTACTCATTTCAACAGTTACACAGTAAATTGTTTTAAGAAGTGTTTAACAAAAAAAAATCCCCCTGCAGAGACATATAAAAGCAGAGCTTTTTATTGTTTTTTAACCAAAAGATACACGATATGGTGTTCTGTTTAACACTGCAACTATACATTTCATTAACTGTATATACAGATGACATGAAAACACATGGCATCTATTATCATCTACCAAAGCCAGAATGACTGGAAAAAAAAGAAGGGGGGAATCTGGCCATAAAAAATGTCCAGTAAGAAACTGGTAAATACAATTCTTCTTTTTCCACTGAAGGTGGAGATTAAACAATAGAAAGAATATCAAGTTCTGACTTCTCTATTTTTGTTTTCAAAAGAAATTCTACCTTTACTGTTAGAAACATGCCTAGATCAGCCCAACACTTTCAGATTTTCATCTACTGTCCATCTGTTTCTGTTTGTGCATTTTCTAATACACAGCAAACTCATCACTTTTTTTTTTTTTTGCATTCTCTATGGATATATTAACTATAAAAAAAAAAAAAGTTGAAAGGGAAGTCTAATTAATTTGTTGTGATGGTAGAAGTCTTGACACACACCAGAGCCATCACAATTCTTCCCCTAGCAATCTTTACGTAATTGACACTACTTGCTCAAAGAACATACATTGTTGGAGAATCTGTGGAGATTTTCATATCAAAGTCATATTCCTTTGAGTTTTCAGTGACAGTAACTGATACCACACAAAGTGTTTTTGTCTATAGGCTAAGCTTTATACCCCTAACTGCAGCGACATAGTACTTGTAGGTAACCTTTACTTCACTGTGTAACTCTTCTGAGGCAATAACTTCAAACACATTCTTGTCTTGCTGCTCCTGTAAAAATCTTTCTTCAACCTAGTTGTCTTTCTTGGGGCAGACAGGGAGATAGTACTGTCAGTATGGAGAGAGGTGGGGGAGGAGAGAAAAAAGAAAAAAAAAAGACTGGAAAACATTCTCTGGCTCTTAAGTATTCCTTTTTCTTTTCTTTTCTTTTCTTTCACTTATTTAAATTGAAGGAACCTTAAGTTGAAGGAAGAGGGTACTCATGAGTTTTCTAGTCAACTATATAAACTTGACCACTGTGTTTGACCTTTGTGCCCATCTTTTACATCTTTGGCAACTGTTTTACATTTACATTTCAAAAATCCTTTAAAGTCATATTCCATGACAAAAGTATTTTCCTGAAAAATCATTCATCCCTTTTCATTCCTGTTTCATAACTCAAGATCAGCTCACAGCTACAATTCACTTGCTTCAAAAGTTTTTCTCTATAGGATTACAGTCACATGTACTACTAAACTGGTGCAAAACAATCAATATCTTCATCTCAAAAGCATGTAAAATTTTAAAATATGACAAAATTACCAAGAATTAAGACAGCCAAAGACTAATTTTGTCAGATTTTAATTACCACCTGGAGCATAGCAGCATAGCCACACAGTTTGGTCATGTTTACATATATACTAGGTATATTGAAGCTGCCTGATATTCAATGTCAGTCTGTAAATTGCTAAAGGAAACATTTTAAGAATTTTGAAAGAGGAATGTAGTATTTGCACTTTACATTTCTTTCTACATCACCTCTTATTGTTAAAAACAGCATCATCGAGCAGGTTTCCATTCTCACTACTGAGGAATGGAGAAGGTCACTATTTAAAATCAGGTTAAAAAGGCAGTTAGGAGGTCAACAGAGCTTTTGGTATTTAAGTTTCATTTTGCTTGGTACTGATGTACATTATATTTAAGATCCAAATTTGATCAGTTTTTGAACTAGTCAGTAAAAGTTTTTAAGAAAAATAACAGATGAACTTATACAGCCATCAGTCAGCATATTCTAAGTCAAAAAGAACCTGTTCTCTCTGAAAGAACAACAGAAAATCATGGCAAATGGGTATTCAGACTAAATGTGTCCCATTATTTTTTTTTTCCCCTAGATGACCCGAAGCAACATGCAAAAAGATTATCCTCAAGTCCTGGCTTTCTACAAAGTCTACTAAATTCTCCATGGAATAGTAACTTCTTACATTTTAGCAGGTTAAAAAGGAAGAGATATTTACAATCTTAAAAAGAAAAAAAAAGAACCACATCTAATTTATAGTGCATTTACCTTTAGACTTTTAACTCTGACGTTCACTCTTCAGAAAACTTACAGGGAGCTAATACCAATGTTCGGCTGGAAAAGCCATTTTTACTAGGGTATTTTTGTTTCTTCTTTTGTGCTTTAGCAAAATACATTAAAATAGCAGAAAACTGATTCAACTACTCTAAAGTATCCAGGAGTAACACTCAAAATTACAGTTTCCTTGAATGAAAAAAACCAAAAACATACAGGATCAAGTAATTCCTCCAGCTTAGGTCTCAACTCTGCCAAGAGAAAAATAGAAAAATAAGTGAAACCTTGACCAAAAGACTCCATTTGTTCCTTTAACAAAGTAACTGTCTATTTAGAAGTTTTATAAAAGTTCATAAAATATGTTCTCATTACTAAACCATGAACTAATTAAAATTTCCTGTATCGGATCTACTTTCTTCCAGAGCAGAAAGAAACCCTGCAACATTTAGATCTTTTTAGAAGCTTCAGGAAGTAAGGACTGTTCTCTACTTCAAGCCTTTGGAATTCTACTCTCCAGATTTTATCATCCCACATCTTAAAAAAGTTCCCAAAAATATTTCAAGGCATTAAGATTTTCTTATTCCTTTTTCTCTCCTGTGAAATGGCAACTTTTCTCTCTACCAGAAGGAAGACTCCTGTTCCAAATGAAAATTTACAATTACATGATAAACTGCCTAGAACGAATGAGATCCACTTAAGTGGGTCTAAAGCACCTTTGCCATCAGGCTGGCCAGTCTGTTGAGAAAAGCTTTAACCTAGGAATAATGTGGGATGGGGAAGATGACCAAATATCAAGCAACAAAGAATCAGACATGTTGGCAAGCAGAAGATGTAGGGTGATGGAAACAGAGGGAACTTGTAAATAATGGATGAGATCTGAAGTGAGACCACCCCTAAGTGCACACATGCTGCTGACATGGCTGAGGTACTCAGTACTTTCTTCTTCTCTGTCTTTACTGGTAAGGTCAGCATTCAGGAATCCCAGGCCACAGAGACCAGAAGGAAAGCCCAGAAAGATATTTAATCTCATTGGAGAAGGACTGTACAAAAGCATCTACCAATTCTACCTTCACGAAGGGCAAGGAGGAGGATCCAGAGAACTACAGGCCAGTCAGTCTCACCTCCAACCCATGGAAGCTGATGAAGTACATGATAGATAAGCAGCTAACATGGTGAGCAGAAAACTGGCTGAGTGACTGTGCTCAGAGTGTCATGATCAGTGGCATGAAGTGCAGCTGGTGGCCTGGCACTAGTGTACCATCTCAGGAACTGGCAGACAATACGGTTTAATAGCTTCATTAATGAGCTGGATGTTTGGAGAGAATGCACTATGCACAAGTCTGCACACATTGCAAAACTGGGATTGATATATCAATCAAATAATTGGGATTGATAGTTATACTGCCATTCAGAGGAGTCTCAACAGGCTGAAGAAAAAAGGCAAGGAAGAACCCCCATTAAGTTCAAAAAAGGTAACCTGGGAAAAAATAGCACCATGTGGCAGTAGAATCAGGGACCAGGCATCTGGAAAACTCCCTTGTAGGGAAGGACCTATGAATTTGGCAGACAAAGCTGATCGTGCACCAGCAACTTGCTTTTCCATTAAAGAAAGTCAAAGGTATCCAGGGCTGCATTAGGAAGAGTGGTGCAAGCAAGTTGAGTGAGGTGATTCTTCCCTTTTCAGCACTGAGGGGTCCACATCTGGGTGCAGCATCTACTTCTAGTCTCCCAAATACAAGACAGACTTGTACATACTGGAGTAGGTCCAATAAAGTGCCATAAAGGTCATTAAAGGCCTGGGGCATCTCATACAAGTGAAATGAGAGAGCTGGGACAGAGTGCCTTAGAGAAGAGGGCTTGAGGGGGAAGTCTTATCAGTGTGCATAAATATCTGATGGGATGATGTAAAGAAGCCAGAACCAGATTATTCTAAGCAGTACCCCATGACAGGACATGGGAAGATAGGAACAAATTGAAATGAAATAAATTTCATTTAACAAATGAAATGTTCGTTAAACAAAAGAGAAATGCTTTGCCCTGTTTTACTGAACCTCGGCAGAGATTGCTCAAAGAAACTAGGCACTCTCCACCCCGGAGGTACCTAAATCCAATCTCGACATGGGCAAATTGCCCTAGATCCAGCAAGATCCTTGCCTGCTTTGGGCATGGTGATGACTAGATGATATCCAGAGATGCCTTCCAGTCTTAGCTATTCTGTCATTCTGTAATTATTTCACATGAAGCAAAGAAATTCAAACCGAAAGCTGCTACTGTCTATTCTATATCTATCTAGTCTTCATCTTCAATAAATACACAGAAAACATTGTTTTATTCTGCAGTTAGATTGGATTAATATTCTCTTCAAGTTAAAAAGACTAATGTGTCTTTCTGCAGATTTTTTTTTGTATCTGTAAGAACTGACATACCAAATACTAAAATACTACTGTCCAAACGGACTAAGTGCTGATCAAGCTTCCAAGAAATAGTGACTTTTTTTTTCAAATTGTGCCTCTGTTAAATTCTGTATCCAGAATTATATTTCAGATACTTGCATCTAGTCCTCAATATGAAACAATGAGCTTCAAAATAATCACTAACAAGGACAAAACAAGCACATGCAAACAATTCATTCTCCATTCAAGCTACACACAAAAACATCCTAGAATAATGCATCCTAGACTAATATTATCCTGATAATTTTTTGAGTTCAAAAGAACAAAATACCTACACAGCATAACAACCACCTTTCCTTCCACTATACTGAGAATATAATGTCCTTGCATTCCACTAAATTAACAGATCCATTCTGTTTATCAAAGAAGTTTTGTTGCATGGAACTCTGGAATTCTTTTATGGGGTATATTGATTTTACTTTCAAGAACTGATTAGAGTTAATATGTCACCCTGCACTGGCTCCAAATATTTAAAAACAAACTTAAAATATTGATCTTAAAATCTAAATCTAAAAATGTATTTTTAAGGCTTTTGTTTAAAATAGTTGACTGAAGGTATGAAGAAAAAGTTATTAGTCACATTTCAGATTAAACTGCAGTCTCAACTAAGGAAAAGCCACATTTTTAGGGAATGCCATCCAAAGTGGAAATTAATGCATTCAAATTCAAACAACTGTATAGATAACAAATCTGTTTGTATTTTAAATTAAGTAAAACTGCTCTTACATTTTTTGAAGAACCTGGGCCATCACAACCCCATTCGTTAAATCTTCCACGGTCTGGCATGGTGCCTCAACGTTAAAGGTCTGGATCTAAGAGATAAGAAAGAAAAGTTATTAAACTTAAAAAAGATAAAAAAGCGTATTATAGAGCATATAAAATGGAGTAAAAAGTGTATACCTGGTAGTATCTAAGTCAGGAAGTAGTAAATTTCAGATATAATAGCAATTAAGGAAATGAATGAATGACATCTTAATAGCTTTATTTTTGCAAGCAAAAATACATAAAGCTGTGGTACAAGTGACTGGAGTATATTCCACAAAACGACATTTTTCCAAAGCATTTTCAACTGCACGAACAAAATTTGTAAGACATTGGGCCTTCTCTTCTCCTGTTCAAGCACTTCTGAAATTCCCCTCTCTCAATGAATGTACAGAAGCAATTTGTCCTTAAAACACAATCTCAAAATTTTCACGTGCTCCGCATGACTCTAAGACTGCATAGAGAAGCAAACTTCGTTCTGCTTTATACTCTCAGATAGAGGAAGACAGGATAATGCTGTTAAGCCTTAGCAGCACTACAATTTCTCTAATTATTTTGAAATGCTGTGACAGACATTGAAGTCCACAAAATGAAATGTTGATAGTCTTCACATGGTGGTTAAGATATAAAAACAACTGCTACTATTCATAAGTATAAAAGCAGAAAGCCAGTGGCTATAATGGCTGAACTGTTTGATGATAGAATTACATATGCCTACACATGTTTTAGCTTATAATGAAATCTACCCTACAGATTGTGTACACCTGAGACAAACTTACATTTTTCTGAACCTATCATATAATACTTTGAAAAGAATCATGCAAGAGCAAGAATTATCAGTTATGCAAGATCAATAATTGTCTCTTATCCCAAACATTCAATATATATCTTAATCTATGACTTCTACTCATCTATTCCATTTTATTCATGAAAAAATGAATTTTTCATGTATTCATTTTTTTCATGAATTTTTCATTTCACCTGAAACTCTCCCCCACCATATCAGCAGCAAATGATCAGCAAATGTTGAACACAACACAAAACTCTTTTCTCCCATCTTTTCCTTGATGTAAAACAGAGCCTTTCACTTCAGCAGAGTCTTTTCTTATGGTCTGAGCATTTTCTCCTAAAGATCACTTTAAAGGGATAACATTGAGTTTTGTGCAAGTATGTCTATGATGCATCATTTGAGGCAATCTGACGAGCTCCCCCTCTGCTGTCATTCTTCTGCTAGGGAAGCCTGAGCTTCTTTGTATGAAGCGCTACTTGTGCACGCCAGGGAGAAGAAAGCTTACAAGGCAGCCTGCTGCTTCAGGCTACATTAGCCTCCAATATATCAACCTTCCTTTCTGCACATAATGTACAAGTGCTTTCCCTAACAATACTTGAAGTATTAACACAAGTTCAACCCATTCCCCAAGAAACCTCTAGCTACATATCTTGCAAAAAGTAGGTATCTAACAATAGCAGTGGAAAAGCTTGCACATCCTTCCTTAGGAAGAATATTCTCAAAAATCAGGAGAACAATATCTAGATTCTCATAGTCCCTTAGGTACCTCAAATAAGCAGTCTAGCAAAAAAACCACTTAAAATTAATCTTAAAGACTTAGATGAATGTTCCACTTTTTCTTTCTTTCCTCCGCAAGAAATAGTTTTACGCTTAATTTGAAAAAAGCAGCATGGATATTTGTTAAGTACTGAAAGGCTGAGCTCTCTCAGTGTATGTTCCCTGAGCAAGTTGTGACACCTAGGCAAAAAGCAGAATGTCATTTCAACACATTAGATCAAGTAGACTTTCCTAAAGCTTCACCTGAGCTGTCTAGAAGAAGCAGGAAGAGGAAGCAGAGGATCCTCATTCCTCCTCCAGAAAAATCAATGAAGCATCACAGATTTCCTAAGTTCTAATTGAACACTGGGATGGCTGGTAGTGGGAAAAAAAAATAGAATATATAATCAAATTGCTGTTTTCTTCAAAAACTTGCTACAGCCTCTGAACTGCCATGGAGCTATTGAAAGAATACCACTTTATTTTCTATTTGAATCCACAGAATCCATTAACACACGAAACAATACTTCCCAGTGAAAAAGGCTGCAGTGAAATTACACATGCTAACATGTGAAGTAGTTCAGACTCCTAGAGGGACAAAATATCCAAACATATATGAGACTAAAATTTGCTTACAAAGTTGCACGTTATGATCTTTAATCACTACAACTTTTATCACTCAATCACTAGCACAATAGCCAAAATAAAAAATTGCACTTAAAAATATTATTATGATCTTTTAAAAATGGATCAAATAAGATGCTATTTTCAAATAAGCAGTACTGACATTCAGGAGATCTTCACACATACTACAAACTTATTACAGCTTGTCAAATTCATTACTGTATCTTCACCCATTAAACTGTCACCTTCAACTAAATATAAAAATGTAGGTATGAAATATCAATACATTCAACAGAGGAAGGAATATTGCTATATCTATTTCCAAGACACAAGCAACAAGAGGTCTATCTGCTATATTGTCACTAATTTTATCATCCTACTTCCCCAATACTTCTCACATAACAAAAGAGCAGAACATATGGTAAGGACCACATATGGTAAGGTGGCACAGGAAATCAGTCTTTCACAGACTCTTTCACAGACACATATGCAAGATTGACAATGAGGACACTATTGCTTTCTATAGTTAGATAACGCAGACTGGAAACAAAGATTAAAAACTAATTATATGACTTGTTTTTTTGCACACCTTTAATTTTTGTTAAAAATGCTTTTGTTCGCATGGGTAAGGAATACACAAGATATAATTTCCACTAAGGCAGCAAATCAATGCAACATCACATTTATTTAGTGCCTGCCGAAAGTTATTGTACTTTTTCCGTATCGGATGCACAATGAAAGTAACACTTTCTGTTCTTTAAAAGAAGTCTACACCAAAGAACAGCTCTGTAAGCTGAACATCTAGCCCATTCCTAGAGCTCTGCATAAAGCTAAACCACTCTAGGCAGCAGTTGGGCTCCTTCTCCAGAAAGAAGAAATAGAGGCATATGGCAATGCAGAGATGAGATCCAGCGCTGGAGACCGTGCAGCAAATACTTCCTTTGTGTGCCCATGAGCAGCCAGTCATTCAGTGAGGGCTGCTGAAACACTGCCCTTCCCGTGCATTGTAAAGTGCTTCCCCTGGAAAAATTCTCTCTCCTCCTGCTGGAACTGCTCCCATTTCTTGAGTATTTTCAATACTGCCCTCACCTTTTGTTCTCTAAAGCTGTAAACTTTCCCATTCTGTGCTATTCACTCTTTTTCCACTTCCAATGCCATTTTACATAGCTCTGACAACTGCAATTTATGAACAACACAGCTTGGAAACAAACAAAATGTGCATCGACATGCATCTTTGCTGGTAGACCCTCAAACCTCCAACCAACTACTATTCAATGAGACTAAGAAAGCTGTTCCATTTCATTTTTTAATATTAATCTAATTAAACTCTGACTCATAATGCTTTGAGCATGCCCTATTGATTTTCTATAAAACATAGATTTAGAGTGACAACAAATCCTTTGATGCAAAGGAAAGAAATAATACGGTGGATGTCAACAGGGCATAATAATTATTACAGGAAGTTAGAATCTTGGAAAAATCTAAGTTGCAGTTCCAGTTCACACATATGACTGCAGCTTTGCTAGCTACTAGAGACAGAAGGAAAAAAGGACACTTAATGAAAAATACTTGCCTAATTTAAAGTCAAAGGCTGAATAAGCATGGTCTCCAAGAGAGAATCTGAAGATAAGAATAAAAATAAACCATTTATAAAAATCTCCAGCATCTCAACCTCCTCAGCTTTATGAGTTAATAAAAGACCTGTTCTTCGCACAGATGCAAAGCTCTGCCTTAAACTACTGCTACAGCAGAATAATTGATCTCTTAATGTACTTTTTGTAATAATACCTGGTCTATTTTATAAGCTTTTTTATAATAAGCAGCACATACTGGTTGCCTTATGCATAAACACAACAAATTAAAGCCCAATGTACAATTAGTTTTTTATTAAAACCCTTAGCAACATTTTGTTGTGACCTTTCATAACTATTGATCTGTTTTTGCCTGTGCTTTGGGAACTGGCTATGTGAGCGTACATCGAGCTGCCATGTAAAGCCGAGGTCAAGCCTATATTGCCACAAAAGGGGAGCTGATAAGGCAAGCATACAGCTCAGGCTGGGAAAGATGGCTGAAAGGAGTAACAACAAAAAAGAAACAGGATTCAGTGGAGTGGAGAGGAAGTACTGCACAACAGTGAGAGTTCCTTGGCAAAGGGTAATAATACTGAAGGAACAACTATGTAAGAAAAGCTGGGAATAGTGGCTAATTCTGTGCTCATGTAAGGCTGTGATTCACCCTATGTCAGGGGTGTACACAACAGTACACATTTTGCTCAACACCAGAGTGGCAGGTAACTGGACCTTTAATGTTTTCAGAACAGTAAGCTGCTTACCTGACAGAGAAAGTTATTCATACCCAGTTTTCTAATTCTCATATCAGGTCAGACTTGTCATAACAAGGTTTGGATCCCTATCCTATAATCAGATCCTGTGCTCCAGGGTAACTTCAGTCAAGCTTCTTGACTCATTTTTCTCCTCCCACTTGGCAGCAGTGCTATCTTCTGCTTGGATAAACAAACCATAAGTCATTTTTTTCATGCTCTCCAAGACAGCAGCAAACCAAGTGAAACAAATGAACACAGTCCAGGCTTTCAGAAAAGCAGGAATTTCATTCCAGGACTTGGATTTCTGAATGCTTTTATTGGTCTTTACATTGCCAGAGTTTCCCCATTAAAATCTCAGAGTTATTCTGCAATCCAAATTTATGTTAGGCACTCAAATGTTAAACATCAAAATAGCAGGGACAAATTGGATGGCCTTGCTATGGAGTTTTTAGGGAGGAGGAAGAGGATTTTGGTGTTTTTCTTGTCAATTCTCTTCTCATCATAAAAACTGTTTTCAACCCCAAATACCCGAACAAGCCAGATGTCAAAGCTATGAA